GCTTCTCGCTGGTTCTGTGCCCGGCAGGTGCCCCTGCAGGACCTCCTCCTGCTGCTGGAGTCCAGAGCAGAAGCCTGGGCCTGGGAGTGTGGCTGGCGCTGCCGGCTGGGCCTTCCAGGGCTGCCCCTGCCGTGTGTGAGAGCAGTGAGCATCCGGACAGCAGGGGAGCTGGAGCTCAGTGTTCTTTGTTTGTTTGTTTTTTTTTTTTTTCAATATTTGTTTATTTATTTGAAAAGTGGAGTTACAGAGAGGCAGAGAGATGGGGGACGGGGGTCTTCTGTCTGCTGGTTCACTCCCCATATGGCTGCAGCAGCCAGAGCTAGGAAGGTCTGAAGCCAGGAGCTTTTTCTGGGTCTCCCACGATCCTTGGGCCGTCTTCTGCTGCCTTCCAAGGCCATTAGCAGAGAGCTGATTCGGAAGTGGAGCAGCCAGGACTCGAACCAGGATCCGTGTAGGATGCCAGCACTGCAGGGCGCAGCTTTAGCTGCTAAGCCACAGTGCTGGGCCCCAAACTGATGATTAGACTTTGCTCCCTTGTTGTGGGCTCCGCCAGCGGAGTAGAAGCTGGCCCCAGGGACAGCTGTGTTTGTAATCAACGGTGGTGGGTGTGTGTGCCCCCAAGGTGCCTCTGGCCTGGCCCAGCAGCCTGTGTTGGTTCTGCAGGGCCTGGTGTCACTGTGTGCTCTGTCCAGCAGGCGGGGTGCTGGGTAGTGATAAATACGGCTTCTTAATCTCCGCAATTTGCCGTTTGTTAAGAAAGGCCGCCGGCGCTCGCTGGCTGTGAGTCCTGTGGGTCCGCCTGCTCCCGGGGCTGAGCCAGGCTGCCAGCGTGGGCAGGTTCCTTTCCTTTCCCAGTTGGGGGTGGGGGGATAATCGTGTCTCTTACCACAGCGAATAGGAGAGTGAGAAGGAAGAGAAGCCCGCTTCTGAAAGCAGGGGTGATTAGGGAAAGTGGAGTCCGTGGAGCTACCACCTGGCCCCTCTTCTCAGACCAAAATGGTGAGAGCACAGCCGTGGCCCCCGCCCTCCCAGGAGGCTGGGCCCTCCGGGCTGTGTGTGCCAGGCCTTCCACCCCACCCCACTCGGGCAGCCCAGGAGGCAGAGTGACCGCTGGGCCCTCCGGGCTGTGTGTGCGAGGCCTTCCGCCCCCTCCCCTCGGGGCAGCCCTGGGGGTGGGGTGACCGCTGGGCCCTCCGGGCTGTGTGTGTGAGGCCTTCCGCCCCCCACCTCGGGGCAGCCCTGGGGGCGGGGTGACCGCTGGGCCCTCCGGGCTGTGTGTGCGAGGCCTTCCGCCCCCCACCTCGGGGCAGCCCTGGGGGCGGGGTGACCGCTGGGCCCTCCGGGCTGTGTGTGCGAGGCCTTCCACCCCCCCTCGGGGCAGCCCTGGAGGCAGAGTGACCACTGGGCCCTCTGGGCTGTGTGTGCGAGGCCTTCCACCCCCCTCCTCAGGGCAGCCCTGGGGGTGGGGTGCTGCTGGCTGTGCCCCGCCCTGCCTCCTCGCCCTGCACCACAAGCGCCCAAGGACAGAGAGCGGTAGAGTGGGCACCTGTGCGGGCCGTCCAGAGGCAGCCCCCTCCCCCGTGTCTTCTAGAGCAGACCCCGGGCCGTTGGCATTTGCCCTGTTCCCACTCCACGTGGCACCCGCCGTGTCGGTGTCACGCCCGCACGGCAGGCGTCGTCCCTTCCTTGCTGCGGTCCCCGGCCTGAGCATGGCCCCCGCCCCGGGCCCGGTGGAGGCGTTTGCGGCCCACTGCGGCTGGGCCGATGCGTGGCTGGGCTCACTTTCTGGACTCTTCTCCTCGCCACCCCCCGACACCCCCCACCCCCACTGCCTTTGGAGCGGGAGGCGGCCTGCGGGTGCTCGCGCAGATTCGGGGCTAGTTGGGGGTGACGGCCCTTGGCAGGAGGGTCTTGTATCTCCCTGCCCTCTGGCTGGCGGTGCCACGAGGAAGGTGGTGCGGGTGGGTGGGCACGCTGGGGCCACGGGTGCAGGCGTGCGTGGACGCGTCCTCTCTCCGGCTACAGGTGGACGGCTTGTTCATCATCGGCTGGATGTACCTGCCGCCCCACGACCCGCATGTGGACGACCCCATGAGGTTCAAGCCTTTGTTCAGGATCCACCTGATGGAGAGGAAGGCTGCCACCGTGGAGTGCATGTACGGCCACCGCGGGCCCCACAACGGCCACATCCAGGTGGGCGAGGGCTGCCGGCAGGCGTCTGCAGTGTGTGGGTGAGGGCCCCACAATGGCCACATCCAGGTGGGTGAGGGCTGGCCGGCAGGCGTCTGCAGTGTGCGGGTGAGGGCCCGGGGCCATCCAGGTGGGCGAGGGCTGGCCGGCAGGCGTCTGCAGTGTGCGGGTGAGGGCCCGGGGCCATCCTGGTGGGCGAGGGCTGGCCGGCAGGCGTCTGCAGTGTGCGGGTGAGGGCCCCACAATGGCCACATCCAGGTGGGTGAGGGCTGGCCGGCAGGCGTCTGCAGTGTGCGGGTGAGGGCCCGGGGCCATCCTGGTGGGCCAGGGCTGGCCGGCAGGCGTCTGCAGTGTGCGGGTGAGGGCCCGGGGCCATCCTGGTGGGCCAGGGCTGGCCGGCAGGTGTCTGCAGTGTGCGGGTGAGGGCCCGGGGCCATCCAGGTGGGCGAGGGCTGGCCGGCAGGTGTCTGCAGTGTGCGGGTGAGGGCCCGGGGCCATCCTGGTGGGTGAGGGCTGGCCGTCAGGTGTCTGCAGTGTGCGGGTGAGGGCCCGGGGCCATCCAGGTGGGCGAGGGCTGGCCGGCAGGTGTCTGCAGTGTGTGGGTGAGGGCCCGGGGCCATCCTGGTGGGTGAGGGCTGGCCGTCAGGTGTCTGCAGTGTGTGGGTGAGGGCCCGGGGCCATCCAGGTGGGCGAGGGCTGGCCGGCAGGCGTCTGCAGTGTGCGGGTGAGGGCCCGGGGCCATCCTGGTGGGCGAGGGCTGGCCGGCAGGCGTCTGCAGTGTGCGGGTGAGGGCCCGGGGCCATCCTGGTGGGCGAGGGCTGGCCGTCAGGTGTCTGCAGTGTGCGGGTGAGGGCCCGGGGCCATCCTGGTGGGCGAGGGCTGGCCGTCAGGTGTCTGCAGTGTGCGGGTGAGGGTCCGGGGCCATCCAGGTGGGTGAGGGCTGGCCGGCAGGTGTCTGCAGTGTGCGGGTGAGGGCCCGGGGCCATCCAGGTGGGCGAGGGCTGGCCGGCAGGTGTCTGCAGTGTGCGGGTGAGGGCCCGGGGCCATCCAGGTGGGCGAGGGCTGGCCGGCAGGTGTCTGCAGTGTGCGGGTGAGGGCCCGGGGCCATCCAGGTGGGCGAGGGCTGGCCGGCAGGTGTCTGCAGTGTGCGGGTGAGGGCCCGGGGCCATCCAGGTGGGTGAGGGCTGGCCGGCAGGCGTCTGCAGTGTGCGGGTGAGGGCCCAGGGCCATCCTGGTGGGCGAGGGCTGGCCGGCAGGCGTCTGCAGTGTGCGGGTGAGGGCCCGGGGCCATCCTGCGAGGGCTCCTGGCACTCTGAGCAGGCCGGGGCCCACACGGGTTGGCGGAAACGGGAGCTGGGTGGTGTTTGTGCTGTCTCGTGGCGCTGGCGGTGTTGGGACCCTGTCTCGACTGTGCGTCCACTTGGAGCCCTGGGGTCTTCGCAGCTGTGCTTCTCTGCCGTCTTGTCCATTGCGGGGAGAATGGGTGGGGGTAAATGCTGTCTTCCTGATGTCTGTCTGAGGAGGGCCCCTGCGCGCCGTGGTCAGCAGGCACCTGCCACACCCCTTTCTGCCATCCAGTCCTGCTGGGGAGATGCAGCTCCGCCCTGGGGACAGCTGAGCCCTGTGCTCGGCCGGCCCTGTGTTGGGACATCTTGGGCCTCTTATTTTTATTTGTTTATTTGAAAGGCAGAGTGACAGAGATCTTCCATCTGCTGGTTCACTCTCCAAAAGGCCATGGTAGGCAGGGCCGGGCCAGGCTGGGCCAGACCGAAGCCGGCAGCCAGGAGTTCCACGCAGGTCTCCCCGGGCGGGAGGGGTCCGGAACATCCTCCACCTTCGTCCAGGCGCAGTGGCAGGAGCTGCATCTTCTGGGACCAGATCTGTGACGATGGTGTCGCAGGCAGCAGCTCCGCCTCGTCAGCCACGACGCCGGCCCCGTCTCGGCACCTCAGACGGGTCTGGGGGAAGCAGGAGAGGGCAAGGGGACCTGGGCCGGCTCAGGGGGCCTGGACTCACTCTGCCTCTCCTCTCTCCTCCGTCGTGGACACTGAAGATTGTGAAGAAGGACGAGTTCTCCACTAAGTGCAACCAGACGGACCACCACAGGATGCCCGGCGGGAGGCAGGAGGTGAGCCCGGTGCCTGGCGGGGGGCAGGAGGTGAGCCCGGACGCCTGGCAGGAGGCAGGAGGTGAGCCTGGTGCCCGGCGGGGGGCAGGAGGTGAGCCCGGTGCCCGGCGGGGGGCAGGAGGTGAGCCCGGGCGCCTGGCAGGAGGCAGGAGGTGAGCCTGGTGCCCGGCGGGGGCAGGAGGTGAGCCTGGTGCCCTGCGGGAGGCAGGAGGTAAGCCCGGTGCCCGGTAGGGGGCAGGAGGTGAGCCCGGCGGGGGGGCAGGAGGTGAGCCTGGTGCCCTGCGGGAGGCAGGAGGTGAGCCCGGTGCCCGGCAGGGGGCAGGAGGTGAGCCCATCGTGGGGCAGGAGGTGAGCCCGGTGCCCGGCAGGGGGCAGGAGGTGAGCCCATCGTGGGGCAGGAGGTGAGCCCGGTGCCCGGCAGGGGGCAGGAGGCGAGTCTGGTGCCCGGCGGGAGGCAGGAGGTGAGCCCGGTGCTCGGCAGGAGGCAGGAAGTGAGCCTGGTGGGGGGGCAGAAGGTGAGCCCGGTGCCCGGCAGGGGGCAGGAGGTGAGCCCATCGTGGGGCAGGAGGTGAGCCTGGTGCCTGGCGGGGGACAGGAGGTGAGCCTGGTGCCCGGCAGGGGGCAGGAGGTGAGCCCGGGCGCCTGGCAGGAGGTGAGTCTGGTGCCGGGTGGGAGGCAGGAGGTGAGCCCGGCTGGGGGGCAGGAGGTGAGCCTGGCGCCTGGCGGAGGGCAGGAGGTGAGCCCGGGCGCCTGGCAGGAGGCAGGAGGAGAGTGGCGCCCGGCGGGGGCAATAGGTGAGCCCGGCGGGGGGCAGGAGGTGAGCCCAGCATCTGGGACAGGTTCTAGACGCGGCCACAGTTCCCTGCTTCCTGGCACTGTCCTGCAGGCTGGAGTACCTCCAGAGAGACTGAATGCCTGTTTGACTTTTATTAAAGATTTATTTGAAAGGCAGTTACAGAGAGGGGGAGAGGCAGAGAGAGAGAGAGAGAGAGAGAGCGCGTCCATTTGCTGGTTCACTCCCTAAATGGTCACAATGGCCACAGCTGGGACAGACTGAAGCCAGGAGCTTCTTCCAGGTCCCCCACGTCGGTGCAGGGGCCCAGACATTTGGGCCGTCCTCTGCTGATTGCCCAGGTGCATTAGCAAGGAGCTGGATCGGAAGTGGAGGAGTCGGGAATTGAACCTGTGCCCGTAAGGGATGCTGGTGCTGCAGGCAGTGACTCAGCGCTGGTCCCACCTATTTGATTTTTTGCATTGTATGTGATTTTGTTTTTTTTTAAGTTTTATTTGTTTATTTTTGAAAAGCAGAATGATAGAGATCTGCCATCTGCTGTCTCCACAGATAATTGTTGAACAGCTGGGGTTGGGCCAGGCCAAGCCAGAGGCCAGAAAATCAGGCTGGTTCTCCCGTGTGGGTGGCAGAGGGACCCAGATGCTTGACCATCACCTGCTGCCTCCCCGGCTGTGCGTCAGCAGGAAGCTGGGTTGAAATGGCGCCAGGACTCGTTAGGCGTTCCACCTCGCGGCACAAGCAACCAGTTGGCATCTTAACTGCTCGGCCAAATGCCCGTGCGTTTCGTTTTTGAGAGGCTGGTCAGGGAGCTCTTCCATTTGCTGATTCACTCCCCAAATGCCTGTAACAGCCAGGCTTGGGCCAGGCTAACCTGGGAGTCTCGAGTGTCCCACGTGTGTGACAGGGACCCAAGTAGTTGAGCCATCACCTGCCACCTCCCGGCAGCTGTGGTTGGACGTGGAGCCAGGAATCCAACCCCGTGACGTGCTGGGTGCCTGGCAGCTGAACCGCGTCACCAGACACCTGCCCCCCCCCAATTTTTTCCCTAAATTTTATGTATTTGAAAAGCAGAGTGACAGAGAGGGAGAGACACAGAGAGAAATCTCTCATCCCCTGGTTAACTCCTAAAATGCCAGTAGCCACAGTAGCCACAGCTAGGCCAGGCCACAGCCAGGAACTCAGAACTGCCCACGGGTGGCAGGAACCCTGATGCTTAGGCCCCTGTGTGCTGCAGGAAGATGGATGGAACACCGGGGGCTCCGTCCCAGACACCGCTGTGAGAGACAGGTGTCCCAGGCGGTGGCATAACCCGCCGTGCCACAGTGCCCTGAACCTCCCACTCTTCAGTGTGTGTGGAGACGGAGCCCCCATCCGCCGCTTCGCTCCCCAAAGACCACGGTGAGTGGAGCGGGGCCGGGTCCCCCGCATGTGTGGCAGGTGCCGCACCCAGCCCCTCAGCATGGCCTGCAGGTTTCCAAGTCAGCGTTCTGTGCCGCCAGACGCCCGCGCTCCTCTCTTGGTTTCTCTTTCAGCCTCCATCTGTACGTGGCCGTGTGCACGCCTTGCACAGGACTTGGGACCCCTGCCCAGGCCAGGACTGTATGGGGTGGGGTCTTGGAGGGGCCGAGGGATCTGCTGTGGACTCTTGACAGCTGTCCTTGTCAGCTGCTGCGTGGCTGCCTCTCCAGTGGAATGTGCCACTGGCCCCTTGTCCACCTTGTCCACCACGTGGCTTCTAGTGTCTCAAGCAGTGTGGGCAGCTTCAGGGACAGGGTGCTCCTGTGGGTGGGCCTGTTATCAGCTCAGCATGACCCCACAGCCGCTTCCGTCCCCAGGGAGCCGTGATGGGCGTCCGGCTGACCCAGACACATCCTGCTGGTGTGGGGAACTGAGGGAGGTCAGGGCTGCCCCCTGCTCTGACGGTGGACGCTTGCTCGGGATTCTAGACCAGCGCGGCGCTTCCCAGGGTACTTAGGACGACTGCACGGGACAGGCTGTGGGCAGACGCCCGCCACAGGCACCTGGGGGGCCCCTGGGACACAGAGTCCCTTCCTCTGGCTCCTCTGGGTGTTGCGATGGATGCCCCTGCGCCGGCCCTCTGAGCTGTGAGGGCCTGGGGACCCTGGGCTTCCTGCAGCTGAGGAAGGGACAGCAGCTCCCCAGCGGGGGTCGCTCAGCAGTAAGCAGCGCTGACGGTGAGGCTTGCGGGCTCCGGCTTCTGGCGTGGTCTGCCGCGACGCAGGACACGGTTCTCGTCTCCCCAGGCCCGAGTCCTTCAGACCCCGCCCCCCTCCTCCACTCCCGGCGTCACTCCCGCGTGGGCCCCGCCGGGCTGCTTCCTCACGGGTGACGGCCGGGCTGGGCCTTCGTGGCCCTTCCCCGGATGGAGGTGCCTGCGGAGGTGGGGAGGGCCGGAGGGAGTTTGGGCGCGCTGGGCCTTCCCTGAGAGCCGCCGGCACCCTCACCTCGCCCGGCCCAGCTCCCGGGGCTGTGGTGTGCCAGGCGTGCGGCGTGCGAGCCCTGGGGAGGCTGGTGCCCCGTGCGCCAGGCTGCGGTGACTCCAGAGGGTGCTGTGCTGAGTCACCAGGCGTCTGGGCGTTCCTAACAAGCGCGACCTTCTGGAGTGAGTCAGATCCCAGTGCCCGGGTCATCTTCCTGATTATTCACCATGGTAACAGGAATACGTTACATACACTCACTTCCGTCTTCATCTGTTGCTTATGCATTGGATTTTTAAAAAATATTTACTTTAAGTCAGAATTACAGAGAAGGGGAGGGAGGTACCCTCCTTCCACTGTTTCACTTCCCAAATGGCAATGGCTGGGGCTGGGCCAGGCCAAAGCCAGGAGCCAGGAGCTTCTTCCAGGTCTCCCACCTGGGTACAGAGACCCAAGCACCTGTTCTGTCCTCCACTGCTTTCCCAGGCACGTTAGCAGGGAGCTGGATTGCAAGTGGAGCAGCCGGGGCTCAAACCAGTGCCCGTATGGGATGCTGGCATGGGGTCAGTGGCTTAACCCACTGTGCCGCAGCACTGGCCCTGCAGTCAATGCTTTTAAAAATACTTTATTTATTTGAAAGGCAGAGTTAGAGAGAGAGAGGGAGACACAGAGGGAGATCTTCCATCCACTGGTTCACTCCCCAAGTGGCTGACGCCAGGAGCCCAGAACTCCATCTGGGCCTCTCACACGGGTGCCGGGGCCCAAGCACCTTGGCCGTCTTCTGCTGCTGTCCCAGGTGCATGAGCAGGGAGCTGGATGGCAGGAACAGCTGGGAGTTGGACCGGCGCCCAGTGGGATGCCAGTGCCGCGGGTGATGGCTTAACCAGGCTGCGCCAGTGCTGGCTGCGTTTGACTTGAAAGCGCCTTCGCTCCATGAGTGCAGCACTTTAGTGGAAGGTTTTAGTTCTGGTGGAGTCTGATTCTAGGGGTGCATCTCCCGTTGCTGCTTTCCTTCCCAGTGGCTGCGGCAGCAGGTCCGGGCCAGGCTGAAGCCGGGAGCCGGGAGCCGCACTGTGTGGCTGGCAGGGCCCTTCCCAGGTGCGTTAGTGGGGCGCTGGGTCGGAGGTGGAGCCGCTGCGACTCAGACCTGCACCCTGACATGGAGTGAGGTATCCCGAGCAGCAGCTTGACCGCCGCACCACGGTACCGGCCCCTCCAATTTTCAGTGAAAGTTGGCTTTGCTTTACGTCCCGTTCTTGCTCCGTGGGGAGTGTCTCCTCCGCGTGGTGTGAGGTGGGCCCCACCGCTCGTTCTGTCTGCATCGGCTGATGGAGCACCCTCCCCAGGGCCGCGGGAGGGCACCTTTGTTGGGAGCCGCTCAGCCGGATCCGCGCAGGTCTGCCTCCGGACGCTGGTGCCAGGCTGGTGCCGTCCTCCTTTCGCCAGGGCCAGATCCGCGCGGGTCTGCCTCTGGACTCTGGTGCCAGGCTGGTGCCGTCCTGCCGTCGCCAGGGCCGGATCCGCGCGGGTCTGCCTCCGGACTCTGGTGCCAGGCTGGTGCCGTCCTCCTTTCGCCAGGGCCGGATCCGCGCGGGTCTGCCTCTGGACTCTGGTGCCAGGCTGGTGCCGTCCTGCCGTCGCCAGGGCCGGATCCGCGCGGGTCTGCCTCCGGACGCTGGTGCCAGGCTGGTGCCGTCCTGCCGTCGCCAGGGCCGGATCCGCGCGGGTCTGCCTCTGGACTCTGGTGCCAGGCTGGTGCCGTCCTGCCGTCGCCAGGGCGTACTAGGAGCTCGCCGGCGTCTAGCTTGGCTCTTTGTTTTCTTTCTTCTTCTCTCTTTTCTTCTTCTTCCCTTCCTCCTCCTCTCTCCCTCTCCCTTCCTTTCCCCTCCTGCTCCTCCTCCTTCTTTTTCGATATATTTGAACGACAGAGCTACAGAAGGCAAGAGAGAGAGAGAGGTCTTCCATCTGCTGGTTCATTCCCCAAGATGGCCTGCACAGCTGGGCCAGGCTGGGGCCAGGAGCCAGCGGCTTCCTCCAGGTCTCCCACGTGGTGCAGGGCCCAAGCACTTGGGCCGTCTTCTCTGCTTTCCCAGGTGTGTTAGCAGGGAGCTGGATTGGAAGTGGAGCAGCCAGGAGTCCAGCCGGCGCCCGTATGGGAGCCGGTACTGCAGGCGGCGGCTCAGCCCACGGCGCCGTGGCCTCAGTGCTGTGTTTCCGGGATTTCTGCGTGTCTGATTTCTACGCATTTGCGTGTGGATCTCGGAATCTGCCTGCTGTGCCTGCCCAGGACCTGGGGGTGTTTGGCCAGCATGATGGGCCTGGAGATCGTGTGGACAGAGTATGGCGTCCCGGCTGTGGACAGGCTGCCTGGGCCTCCTTAGCCCGGTCAGCAGTGGTCTGGTTCTCGGGACAGAGGTCTTAGCTGATGTTGTTAACGTTTCTCCCCAGGGCCTCTGTGTTTAGAGGATGTTGCAATTTTGTGCTACCAGTGTACATAGAAATTCAGGTTTTTTTTTTTTATTGGTCGTGTAGTACTAATAGTCTGTGATTTCTGGTTTTTGTGGGAGTTCGGGGACAGTAACATATTAAAGCAATTAATAGGTTTAGTTTTTTTTTTTTTTTTACTAAATGGCTCTTAACCTCTGTAAAGCTAATTCTAGATCATCATTAGAAACGGTATATTCATATATTCAATTAGGAAATGAGAGTTTGAATAAATCCTGTTAATTGTATAGAATCAAATTATTAAGCACTAAACATCCTTAGCATTATGCAAACTGCATATGAATTATCGAGCTTTGGGGAACGGGTGTTTATGAAAGCCCCCTTTTGTAAATATACTTACTTTATATTCAGCCGAACTACGAAGACAGCTTCAGAGTGGAGTCGTCTCCACAGTCTGCCTGGCTGGCTGTCCCGCGCCTCGCTGGCGGCACAGAGCGCGGCCTGGCCGTGGAGCGGGGGCTGTGTGGGTGGGCTCCTCCCCACGGCAGTGAGGCCCCTGTGGGTTGCACGGGGAGGCCCTGGACGCAGGCTGTGGCCCAGCCTGGCCTGAAGGAGCTGCCGTGGTTCCTGCTGTGCCCCGGAGGCGCCTGGGCCGTGTGCCCGGGCAGGTGAGGACCCGGGCGCTTCACTGCTCGCCGCTGAGCGTGGGTTGGGCTGGAGCCCACGACACGCAGCAGCCCCCGTGTCTTCCCCGGCTGTCCCCGCTGCATGGGGACGGCCCTTGGGTGCAGATGCGCCACGCGTGGAATAGCGCCAGGGCCACCACCTCCCGCCGTTGTGTCGTGGTCACCTTCACGCCCTGCGTTCTCGTGGCAGGAATTTCGGACGTGGCTGCGGGAGGAATGGGGCCGCACGCTGGAGGACATCTTCCACGAACACATGCAGGAACTTATCCTGATGAAGTTCATCTACACCAGCCAGTACGAGTGAGTGCTCTGGGCACAGCCCCGTCCCGGGGGCTCTGGGATACAGCCCGTCCCGGGGGCTCTGGGGTACAGCCTGTCCCGGGGGCTCTGGGGTACAGCCCTGCCCGGGGGTTCTGGGGTACAGCCCCACCCCTGAGTGCTCTGGGATACAGCCCTGTCCTGTAGGGCTCTGGGGTACAGCCCCGTCCTGGGGGTTCTGGGGTACAGCCTGTCCCGGGGGTTCTGGGGCACAGCCCCGTCCCAGGGGCTCTGGGGTACAGCCCCGTCCCAGGGGCTCTGAGGTACAGCCCTGTCCTGGGGGTTCTGGGGCACAGCCCCGTCCTGGGGGCTCTGGGGTACAGCCCCGTCCTGGGGGCTCTGGGGGCACAGCCCTGTCCCGGGGGCTCTGGGGACACAGCCCCGTCCAGGGGGTACAGTCTCTGGGGTACAGCCCCACCCCGAGTGCTCTGAGGCATACCCCCATCCGCAGGGACTCTGGGGACACAGTCCTGGTCCTGGTCCCCACCTGGGGGTCTGTGTTGTCTGGTTTGGCACAGACACTTCTGTGACTTGCGTGTCAAAACCACGTCAGCTCTGCCAGGCCAGGTTCTTGGCCCGCTCCCGCTCAGCCCGCTGCAGAGTGCCCCAGGTGACGCGGGCTCCTTTCTCCAGGCGGGTGGAGCAGGAGTGGTGTTTTCCTCCCACTTGGGTGCTGGGGGCCCTGCCCTGCTGAGTCCCTGGGGCTGTGGACAGCGGTGCCGGCTCTGCTGTGCCGCAGGCCGTGGGGGTGGCCGTGGCTCCCAGGCCTCAGCCAGGATGGGTTGCAAGTTGTGCCTCCTCCGCCCACAGCAACTGCCTGACCTACCGCCGCATCTACCTCCCGCCCAGCCGCCCGGACGACCTCATCCAGCCCGGCCTCTTCAAAGGCACCTACGGCAGCCACGGCCTGGAGGTCGTGATGCTCAGCTTCCACGGCTGCGTGGCCAGGGGCACCAAGATCACGGTGAGGGGCGCCCGGGCCCGCGCTGTGCGCTTTCCGTGAGATGGCTGTGGGTGCACCGTGCCGGGCAGGCTGCACCTGGACCCAGCCCCACTGAGCTGGGTCTGTGTGCGTCCAGTCGGCTGTGCCACACTGGTGCTCAGCCCCGGCCGCCCCGGGAACCCTGGTGCAGACCCCACCCCGGAGTCCGGATTTCACTGGGGGTGTCCTGGGAACAGGCCCCCCGAGCTGTCCGCATGAGGCCGAGACGCAGCCACACCTGGGCCTGTGTGTCAGCAGGCGGCCCCTGGCGCCGGCTGCCAGCGGCTCAGCAGAGCCCGGCCAGGGGTGCGCTGCCCCGCGAGCCTCGTCCCCGCTCCTCCTGGGCCTGCCCTGCTGCCACACAGCGGGGCTCACGGCTGGCGCAGGGGCCGCCGCTCACACCGTGCCTGCTGGCTTGGCTGGGTGTCTGGTGGGTGGCACTGACCAGCCCTGAAGAAGCAGGGTCCCTGTCGGTCCCTGTGCGGTGGGGGAAGCTCCTGTGGAGCTTGGTGGAACAGGGCCAGAAGCAGGCACCTGCGGCTCTGACGACCCCGCCCCGGGTTTTGTCTGCAGTCTCTGAGCTGCAGGGGGCAGGACCCTCCGGGCCAGAGGGCCCGTTCCCGGCCGAGCACACGTGTGTCGGCGTCTGTCTGTGGACTCCACAAAGCACCTGTCGCCGTTCCTGTCTGTGGAGACCTCGTCCGCCCCCCGCCCAGCTTTCCCAGGGTTGCGGCTCAGGCGGTGGGGCGCTGGGCTGGGAGCCCGGAGCAGGTCTGCATGTCCCTGTCTGCCCCTCACCCCGACTGCAGGGTGACCCCAACATCCCTGCCGGGCAGCAGACGGTCGAGGTTGACCTGCGGCACCGCATCCAGCTGCCCGACGTGGAGAACCTGCGCAACTTCAACGAGCTCTCGCGCCTGGTCCTCGAGGCCCGCGAGCAGGTGCGGCAGGAGCAGCAGGAGGGCAGGCGCGAGGCCGAGGGGCCGGAACGCGGGCCGGACCCGGTGCCCGCGGAGGACGGGGGGAAGCCTGGGGACGCAGCGGCCACGGCGGCGGAGCAGCCCGGCCAGTCGGGGCAGGGGCAGCCCTTCGTGCTGCCCGTAGGCGTGAGCTCGAGGAGTGAGGACTACCCCCGCACGTGCAGGATGTGGTGAGGACTGCCGGCCGCGGCGCGCAGGGCGGGCGGGCCGGGGGGCTCCGACACGTTAGCTGCAGCCCCAGGCACCCGAGCGGGCCACGCTGCCTCCTGGGCCTCGCTGCCGCTCTCGCGGGGAAGCTCCCGGCCTCCTGCCGTCGGGTGCTGTTAGGGCGTCAGCTTCCCGGACGGGAGGCCTCTGAGGTGACCATCCTGAGACCTCACTGTCACGGCTTTGGAAAGTGTGGCAAGTGCTCAGTGCCTCCTCTCCCTCTGGCCCGGCCGAGTTGGCCGCCTGCCTGGTTGCACCCCAGGGGAGCGGTGTGCGTCTCGGTGACCACAGGCGGCCCTTCACTGCCCCTGGAGTCTTCCCCTCCGCCTCCCCACTCTTCTGTTAGTTTCCGCTGCCCCTGCTGTGCTGGGCCGCCCCCTGGCAGCCCTCGAACAGCGTGTGGAGTGGACTGTTGGCCGCTGTCCTCCCCGAGGGGCGTGGGTCCCTGGTCCCTAACCGGTGCAGGTCTTGCCTGGGCGCCGGCTGGTGCTTTGCTGGACTTTGGCCACGGCTGCTGACAGCACATGCCAGGCCCTTGCCGCCATCCAGGCCACACGGCCCCCATCCTGGCCTCGCCCTCCAGGGCGATTTAAATGTAAACTGGCCCAAGGAGAAGTCCAGGTCCTCGGTCTCCCTGGCCCACACGGCTGGCGGCTGCTGTCCTGGACAGTGCAGAGCTGGGACGCTGCCCATCACCAAGAACCCAGTCCACAGTCTCCCAGGTCACAGGGTCACGGTCAGGTCGTCCCTGCTCGCCAGGCTGTAGTCTCCCAGATCCACACTGCCTCGCACCCAGAGCCCGTGGAGAGTTCACCTGGTGCCCTCTCGGGAGAGCCCGGGCCCTTGTTGGTGTCCCTGCTGCCAAGTCTGTCCTGGTGCCTGGTGATCGTGGTGTGAGGGCGTGGCTGCCAAGTCTGTCCTGGTGCCTGGTGACCGTGGTGTGAGGGCGTGGCTGCTGATCCTGTCCTGGTGCCTGGTGACCGTGGTGTGAGGGCGTGGCGCGCTCGCTGGGGCCCCTCCCGCCCCTCACGCCTCCGCTCCTGTCTGTTCAGTTTTTACGGGACAGGCCTCATCGCCGGCCATGGCTTCACCAGCCCCGAGCGCACCCCCGGAGCCTTCATCCTGTTTGACGAGGACCGCTTTGGGTTCGTCTGGCTGGAGCTGAAGTCCTTCAGCCTGTACAGCCGGGTGCAGGCCACCTTCCGCAACGCCGACGCGCCGTCCCCGCAGGCCTTCGACGAGATGCTCGAGAACATCCAGTCCTTTGCCTCCTGACCGGCGTCGGCCCGGGACCCGGCCCGTGGGCAGCAGCAGCAGCACTCCCAAGTCTGGCCCTTTGGCCGGAACTCGTGGCTTGTCGGGGTCCCAGCCCGCCGCCCCCAACACTTTCTGTATAGCGTGTAGCCTGTCCCCGTGCGTCCCCGGTAGCCATGCAGGAAGCAGCTGAGCATGACTTAGGAAAACCACAAGAACTCGGGGCCGCAGGGGCTTGCAGAGAACTGAACTGCAGAGGGCAGCGTGCGCGTGGCTGCCTGTGCCTTCCGGGGGGAACACGCCCCCCAGGGAGGGCTGTGCTTTTCCCGGGAGCAGATAGAGCAGTTGCAGCCGGCGGTACCTGTCCCCCGACGCGGCCGTGCCCCAGTGCCCGCGGCCCGCGTGGTCAGGGAGAGGAGACAGACTCGGTCTGGGCAGCAGTGCGCCCCTGGACGTGGCCAGGAAGTGGGGCAGGGCCGGGCCGGCTTCCCGTTTCCCTCCTGGCTTGCTTGGATTCTGGACGAAAGTTCTCCGCTGCTGTTCTTGGTTCCTCTGGGAAGTGGCGGGGAGTTCGCCACTCGGGTCACTGCAGACACAGCCCATGTGCCTGCCTGCTCTGGGCTCACTTGGAGTCGTCCCCAGCGGCCAGCTCTGGGCGGGACCTTGCTGTCCAGGCCCTCTCCTCCCCTTCCCGCACACGCGTGGCTGCCCGCCCCTTGTGCAATGCAGGTCCACAGAGACTGCCCACGAGCTGCGCTTCAAGGTACTGAGCGTCCAGAGTGGGTGGGCTTGGAGCCCCTTGCAGGTGCGGGGACACGTGGGGGTGCTTTACAGCCCAGGCCCCGCTGGGGAACCCGAGCACCGACGCTTCGCTCGTGCTGCGCCATGCTGTGTCACCTGCATTTGGTGACGTCCGTCGGTGTCAGATACGGAGGCCCGTCCCGCTCCATCCTGGGGGCCTCTGCGGAGCCCGCGTGCCCGTCCTGTGGCCTGTTCGGTCCCCAGGGGCCTCTGCAGAGCCTGTGTGCCTGTCCTGCTCCATCCCGGGGGCCTCTGTGGAGCCCGCGTGCCCGTCCTGCTCCATCCCCGGGGGCCTCTGCGGAGCCCGCGTGCCCGTCCTGCTCCGTCCCCGGGGGCCTTTGTGGAGCCCGCGTGCCCATCCTGCTCCGTCCCCGGGGGCCTCTGCAGAGCCTGTGTGCCCGTCCCGCTCTGTCCCCGGGGGCCTCTGTGGAGCCCGCGTGCCCATCCTGCTCTGTCCCCGGGGGCCTCTGTGGAGCCCGCGTGCCCATCCTGCTCTGTCCCCGGGGGCCTCTGTGGAGCCCGCGTGCCCATCCTGCTCCGTCCCCGGGGGCCTCTGTGGAGCCCGCGTGCCCATCCCGCTCCGTCCCCGGGGCCCTCTGCGGAACCCACGTGCCCTTTCTGCTCTGTCCCCGGGGCCCTCTGCGGAACCCACGTGCCCTTTCTGCTCCGTCCCCGGGGCCCTCTGTGGAGCCCGCGTGCCCATCCCGCTCCGTCCCCGGGGGCCTCTGTGGAGCCCGCGTGCCCATCCTGCTCCGTCCCCGGGGGCCTCTGTGGAGCCCGCGTGCCCATCCCGCTCCGTCCCCTGGGCCCTCTGTGGAGCCCGCGTGCCTGTCCTGCTCCGTCCCCGGGGGCCTCTGTGGAGCCCGCGTGCCCATCCCGCTCCGTCCCCGGGGGCCTCTGCGGAGCCCACATGCCCGTCCTGCTCTGTCCCCGGGGGCCTTTGTGGAGCCCGCGTGCCCATCCTGCTCCGTCCCCGGGGGCCTCTGCAGAGCCTGTGTGCCCATCCTGCTCTGTCCCCGGGGGCCTCTGTGGAGCCCGCGTGCCCATCCTGCTCTGTCCCCGGGGGCCTCTGCGGAGCCCACGTGCCCATCCCGCTCCGTCCCCGGGGCCCTCTGCAGAGCCCGCGTGCGCGTCCTGCGGCCTGTGCTCACATCTTGCCTGTGTTGCTCAGGCTCACGGGCTGGGCGGCTCTGAGTGCTGTCAGGTGCCGGGCTGCGTCCTGCTGGCCGGGGACCCCAGGTGGTGGCGTCCGAGGGGGCGCTGACCTGAGAGATCCGGGGACGTTTTTCCTGACTGGCCTTGAAGACCAGACACAGGCTTCAGGACGCCTGGCGTCCGAGGGTGATCCCTGAGCGGTGCAGGCCCTCCCAGCATCTGCTGGGGCTCAGGCAGAGGGGCCACAGCTGGCACCCCGGCCCCCCACAGCTGTGCTGGAGGCCCTGGCTCCCCTCCCAGGTCTTGGCAGCACGCGCCGCGGCATTCAGGTTTGGGTCCTGGTTTCTGGCACCTTCAGGGTGGAGCCCAAAGCTCTGTTGTCCCCCCCCCCCCAGCTGTTGACCTTTCTTGTGCCAAATGAGGCAGTCCCGAGCGGTGGGAGCCGGCCACGCCGCCTCAGGGACCCCCGGCCGTGGGCCGTGGGCCGTGGCTCTCCGAGGTTTGCCATTGCTTGAAACAGCCAAGAAGGCAGTTTCTACAGAGGCCCGCTCTAAGGGACCCGCCCCGTCTCCAGGGGGCCTCGCCTCCGCTTTGTAGAGCACACTGGTCGAGGAGAATACTTCTGATTAAAACAAAATCCCACACCTCGTGGACCGGCTTCTCGTGTTTGGGCACACAGATGCCTCCTGGGAGCAGCTGGACCGGTCTCGGGCCGCTCTCGCAGGGCGTGGGCAGCAGCCGGGAAGGTGGGGCTGGGCCCTCCCGGCTGTGACGAGAAGTCACTCGGTCCGAGGGACAGCCACAGATTCCTAACCGGCAGCTCCCCTAGGCTGGGACCGTCCCTCACCCGGGAGGGACCGGCCCTGGCCTCGGCGTCTGCTGCTGAGGGAGGGAGGTGGGGGCTCGTGGGGGGGGGGGGTTCAGACGCCTCCGTCATCCGGACTGCAGCCACCCAGCTGGCCTTGCCTGCGTCACCGTGGCTGCTGGCCGCTCGGGGCGCTCACGGCCCTGTGCCAGCACCAGGTGCCTGCGTCCTGAAGTCTGCCTGGCAGAAGGGGGCGCTCTGTGGCTCCGGGGGGCCTCGGGCCAGATGTCCTGCCCTCGCTGCCATCGCCTGCCCTGGGCAAGGCCCGTTCACACGTGGGGTCTGCACGCTGGGCCTCTGTCCCATTCACACGTGGGGTCTGTGGGGTCTGCACGCTGGGCCTCTGTCCCGTTCACACGTGGGGTCTGCACGCTGGGCCTCTGTCCCGTTCACACGTGGGGTCTGCACGCTGGGCCTCTGTCTGTCCTGGCCGCGGAGTGGACGGCTTCCCTGTCCGTGAGTCGCAGCTGCGCCTCCGGGGGGCGTGGCTTGTGGGTGCCCAGGTTCTCGCCACTGCGAGGTCAGTTTTTAGTGCTCGCAGGTGGTAGGGGGAGGGTGAGAGCTGGCTCACTCCCTTGGGCTTCATGAACTCGCGGTCCCTCGGTGTCCCCTGGTTGCCGCTGCCCTCTTCCCTGGGACCTCGGCGGCTCCTGGGGAGACAGGCGACGTGGCAGACAAAGCCTGAGAACGCCGAGGCCCTGTCCGTCCTGTCCCCTCTTCCCCTTCTCACTTTCACGTTTAATGCTTTTTTTTTTTTTTTTTTGAAGAGAGATGAGAGAGGTCTTCCATCCCCTGGTTCACTCCCCAAATGGCCACAGTGACCACAGCTGGACCAGGCCAGAGCCAGGAGTGCCCTCTGGGTCTCACGTGGGTGCAGGGGCCCGAGCACTTGGGCTGTCTCCGGGTGCTTTCCCAGGGCACAGCAGGGAGCTGGGTCGGAAGTGGGGCAGCTGGGACTGCTATCCATGTGGGAGGCCGGCGCTGCGGGCGGTGGCGTTAGCTGCTGTGCCACGGCGCTGGCCCCATCGTGTTTGATTCTCTTAAAGGACGCTCACCTGGCCTGAGAGAGCCACTCCCAGGCCAGGATCAGGTCCTGGCTTCGCACAGGCAGGTGGGGGCCAGGAACGAAACCTTGTGTCTTTGGAATCCCTTTGAGCAGGAGACAACCTGTGCCCTGGGTTGGGTGCTTTGGGACTGAGACCGCACCAGGTTTCTGCAGGCCTGTGTCACTGTGGCTCAGTGGCCCGCGCAGCGTGCTTGGGGGCTTGCGGGGGGAGGGGCAGCCGGAGGATCAGGCCGTGTCCTTGAAAGCCTGACGGTACCTCTGGGCGCCTGAGGTCACACCGTCGACTTGGAGAAGAAAAACTTTACACTGTTTGGTCTTGAGCTCCAAGGCCTTGACTGGGGAGGTGACACTTGGAGGGGAAGAGTCGCTGGTCCCCGTGGTCCGAGCTGGGGTTTGCCTGACCCCAGGAGCAGCTGCTGGAGGGCTCGCGCCCTGGGGTGTGCAAGGTGATTTCTCCTGTTAGGTTGAAGCTAACCTGCCCCTGAAGCCGCCTTGTGGCTCTGGGGATGTGTGCGGGTGTGGCAGGAGCCCCGGCTGCATGGCCCACACCCCTGTCCAAGGGCGGGGTCCATGTGGGCCCTTGGCAACTGGACCACATTTGGTCCTTGCAGTCCTCCCTCTGACCCTGGCATCCTGTGCACCCCCAGGGGCGTGGGCAGCCAGAGAATTTGCTTAGCTTAATCCAGAGTGAGTTTGCGTCTCCTGAGGCCGGGGCAAGGGCAAGCAGACGAGCCTGTGCACTGAGAACTCCGTGGGCCAGGGAAAGCTGTTGCGCCCCAGAGCCAGGCCCGCTGGTCACGGCGGTGAGCCCCAAGGCGGCTTAGTGGAAATGCAGCCAAACTGTGTCGCCGATAGGGAGATCGGCAGGGACGTGGGGACAGGCAGTGCTGGATGAGGGCGGAGTCAGCCCTGGCAGTCCCAAACCGGTGTGCACGCGACTTCACTACATTGGAAAGGTTGGATAAAGCAAGCGGTGGGTATTTGTGTAAGACGTAAAGCCGAAGCCATGCCGAGTTTATCCTCGCACGTGTACATCCCGTGAGTGCAGAAGGCTGTCGGCCACGAGGTGCCGCTGCTGGAGCCCGGGCCCGCAGCCCCTGTCCCTGCGTCTCAAGTCGTGCTCAGGAGACAGCAGGACGCGGATGCCGCTGGTTACAGCCCTGCGTCTTCCCCGGGATTCAGGATCGCTCGTGTGGGACTCGGAGCCCCAGCCTGGCGCCGTCCCCTGCTGCTCTCCCGTGTGGGCTGGGACCCGTGGCCTCTGGCAGCTGGCACTTGCTTCTGCCACAAGCACCTGCTGGGGCCGGGCTTCGCGGGGGGGGGGGGCTGTGGCCCTGCCCTGTGGAGGCCTTGGAAGCAGGACGGCACCTGCCACAGCAGTGCAGCGTAGTAGACTGGAGGCGGCAGCCTCTGTACGCCTCTCTGTGATATTTGACTTTTTTTTTTTTCCCAAAGATTTATTTGAAAGACAGAGTTACACAGAGAGGAGAGACAGAGAGAGAGAGAGGTCTTCCATCTGCTGGTTCATGTCCCTATTGGCCACAACTGATCCAAAGCCAGGAGCCAGGAGCTTCTTTCTGGTCTCCCACATGGGTGCAGGGACCCAAGGACTTGGGCCATCTTCTACTGCTTTCCCAGGCCACAGCAGAGAGCTGTACAGGAAGAGGAGCAGTCGGGACTTGAACCAGCACCCATATGGGATGCCGGCACCGCAGACAGCAGCTTTTTTTTTTTTTTTTTTTTTTTTTTTTGACAGGCAGAGTGGACAGAGAGAGAGACAGAGAGAAAGGTCTTCCTTTTGCCATTGGTTCACCCTCCAATGGCCGCCGCGGCCGGTGCGCTGCGGCCTACGCACCATGCTGATCCGATGGCAGGAGCCAGGTACTTATCCTGGTCTCCCAGCTGGCCTGGAAGAGGGGCAACCGGGACAGAATCCGGTGCCCCGACCGGGACTAGAACCCAGTGTGCCGGCGCCACTAGGCGGAGGATTAGCCTAGTGAGCCGCGGCGCCGGCCTAGGCAGCAGCTTTACCTGCTACGCCACAGCACCGGCCCCAACATTTGGCTTTAAGACAAGATCAGCAGGTGCCCGAGTCGTTAGGACGCCGGGGTCTCCCAGCTTGCTCCTCGATGCCGGCCGCACAGCCGGGGGCTGCACCTGCGCCTGCTCTGCCCGACGCTGGCGCCCTCCCGGGGTCTCTGAGCTGGGCTGCTTTTCTGCTCTCTGCTGTCTTCTGGTGCTGGGGCCGAGGAATAGCGTGGGCAGCGAGAGGACACGTGGGCTGAGCCACCCTGCGAGGCCCCTCCCACAGGGCAGAGCTGCTGGGCCACACGGCGCCACCCGGCGCCCACTTCTCCTCTGGGTAGGTGCCTGGCATGGCGGCGGCCTGGCCGCAGGACCACGGCCCATCCTCTGCCTCGCAGAGCAGAGCTGGCGGGGGCTCCAGCGTCTGGCGTCTTCCCTTTGTCCCGGCTCTTCAGGGCAAGTCTCTTTAGAAGTGTGACCTCTTGTGGACACTCAGGGCCACTGCATCGGGCGTGACCCCAGCCAGCTGCAGGAAGTTTTCAAACCGAGGAGTTGCTGTCCTTGGCCACAGCCCTTGTCCCCGCCCCCCTCTTCCCAAGGGGGACACCTGCCTCCAGGTTGTTCTACACCATCAGCCGGGTCTGAAGGCCTGCCCTGTGCTGCTTGCCCAGTGCACCGCGTCACCCCGCGCGCCCTGCGCTACCCCTGCCCGACACTGGGGTCCTGGCAGCCGTTCAGGAAGGAGAGTCCAGGGCCAGCCGGACGTGGCCGGCGTGTCACACGCGGTTCACAGGTGTGGTCAGATCAGTCCCCCGGACTGGAGGGGAGCCGCGGCTCGGACAGGCGGGTGATGTGCCCAGGGCACAGAGCCAGGACGTGTCAGAGCAGGGGTCCGGGGCTCCAGGCCCACTGTCGCCACCCCCTGATCTACAAGGGACTCGCTTGGCGGTTTCTTTTGTCCTTTCCAGCAAAGGAAAGCTGCACTCGGAAGCCCGGCTCAGAACGCCACGGCCACGGCCGCTTGAGGCAGGGCTGGTGCAGCTGGGCTCGGCCAGCCGGCGTTGCTGCGTGGAGCCAGCTACGGCCTGTGATCCAGTTCCCTGTGGAAACCCAGAAGGCACAGGGCGGCCAAGCCGGAGGCCTGGGGTCTCCCAGCACCTCGTGGTGGGCGTGGGACAGAACCTGGCCCCTGGGGGCCCATCATCCGAGCCCGGAGCTTTCCATGGTGCTGAGCGGGGCTGAGGCAGCCGAGTCAGTGCCTAGCTCTCCAGTCTCTTCCTTGGGAGGAGCACTGTCTCCGGCATCCTCCGCCGGGGCTGGTGCGCACTGGCTGGAGCCTGCACCCACACCCTCCAGGAGCCAGTCTTGGCCCAGGGGCGGGGCTTCTGCCGTGTCCGCCTTCCCTGGCACAGTCCTGCGTTCCCGAGCAAAGCTGGGGGCCAGGTGACTGGGAAGAGGCGACGGCCTGAGTCCGCGTGTGCCACGTGGGCGGGCTGGATGGCTTACCACGGACGGGCGGGAAGCTCCGTGTGTTGCGGGAAAATGCTGCCCCCGCTCTGACCTGCGATCCGGGGGACGGTGTGAGCATTTGTGGGTTTCCAAGGATTCTCAAGGATTCTTTTTTTTTTTTTTTTTAAGATTTATTTATTGAAAGGCAGAGTTAGAGATCTTCTATCTGCTGGCCCCTCCCCAAGTGACTGCACGGCCAGGGCTGGGCCGGGCTGAAGCCGGGAGCTCCTCCGGGTCTCCCGCATGGGGGCAGGGAGGGGCCCAAGCACTGCAGCCAAGCTGGGCTGCTTTCCAGGCACATCAGCAGGGAGCCGGATCGGAAGTGGAGCAGCCGGGACTCGAACTGGCGCCCACGTGGGATGCCGGCTATGTCGCATCGGCCCTAGGGCTCCGAGGATTCTGATGCCGCCATTTGTGGTTGCACAAGGAAGCTTCTCCGTTTCCGGCGCCACCTGAGAAGAAGGTTCCGGAGAACACTCTTGAAGGACTTGCACGGTTCTTGGTGACTGGCAAGTGGTGCTCTGCGGCTCAGTGAGAGACTGCGGGGAGCAACTGAGACTAGACTAAGTTACTGGAATTAAGACTTATTCTATGCATCTGCTCTCCCACAATATGGCGCTGAGGGAGCAAACAGCCTCTACGCAGCTGCCTCGCCAATTTGACTGATAAGCTGCAGGAGCTGATCCCACTCCTGATTGGAGGAGAGCAGCGTGCTCGGCGTGTGGGCAGCAGAGTTGGGATTGGTGGAAGAGGACTATAAAGGAGGAGAGAGACACCATGCACCAGGAACACCCAAGGGACATCTGAGAAACATCTGAGCAGCCCCCGAGAGAGCTGGCCGGCGGTGTGCCACTCCTCCGCGGAAGCGGGGAAAGCGGTGGGGGTGCCGCCCCTCCACAGAGGCGGGGTGGGGGGGCGGCAGCTAACCCGGGAAGGGCCAGGCAAAAGGAACAGCGCAGGGTCTAGTGTCGTTCCTCCGCGAATTGGGGAGCGACAAGAGCCGGGCTGTCCCCGCCCCGCCCCGAGGTACAGCTCTGCACGGCAGAGTTCTGTGTGCACGGTTCTGGGATTGACAGCCACGTCTGTGAAGCTGCACCGTGGTCAGGATTCGGTTCTGTCACCGCTCCCGGTCACACACCTCCTCCCCTCCTGCGCCCCGGAGGCCACAGCTCGTTCCGCATTCCTGCCCTTGCCTCTTCCAGGTCAAGCTCACGGCTGCTCCGGGAGGGAGCTCGCGCGGCCTGGCTGTGTGCCCGCGGCACAGCCCGTGGGAGCCGGTGTGGTCACCACTCTCCTTCTCCCAGGAGCCTTTGCAGGACTGACGTTCTGCCCCGGGCTGGCTGCACCCCCTCCCCTGTCTTGAGGACCCATGACCCAGCACAGTGCGCGCCGCTCTGCCGGGCACAGGTGCACCCCAGCCGGCTCGCCCGTCCCCCGTCAGGGCGCTCGGGGTTGCTTCCGGCTGGATGCCGTGGGTAAACCAGAGCAACCGCTTGCGCGGGGGTTTCTGGGCGCCGACGCATTTTCAGTCCCTTGAGCTGCAGAGTTGGGTTGTGGGGCCGGATGGCGAGCGCACGCGTGACTGGCGGGCAGCTGGCCAGCGTCTTCTGGGGGTCGCACCGTTCTCTTCCGCCAGCGATGGCTGAGGGTGCCCCGATCCCACATCGTCAGAGCCTTGTGTAACTAGGTGAGCGCCTGCCCACTTCCTCTCACCGCCACGGGGCCGCGCGGGCGAGGTCGGGAGGCCCCTGCTGTGGCATCTGGTGAGAGCCGTGGTGGCACACACGTGGGGCCAGGAAGCAGAGCTGGGCCCAACCCAGGCTTTCAAAAACAGCCCTCTTGGGAAAACTTCCTTCTGAGGGCGCCCCCAGCCACCCCAGGACCCCTAGCAGGCCCACCTGGTAAACACCACCATGGCTCCGTGTGCACCACCTTACCGACTTAAGGCTTGGAGACTTAGGGGAGCGCATGAGTTCAGGAGGCTGTTAGGGCTCGGAGGGCCTTCTCCTGGCCGTGTTGACGGGTGCTGCAGCCGCAGTTCCGGTGGACTCTGTGTCCAGGGCGCTCACCTACTGTCGGCATCGGGCAGTGTTTCTGTTCAAAGCTTTGCACGTCCGTGACGGAAACTACGCATGAGGAGAGGAAGAGGGGTGTGCGTGCTGGGAGGAGGCACAGGAGGACGTGGGCAGCCAGAGGGCGAGGAGAAAGGGCGGGGTCAGGCGGGGAGCCCGGGCCGGAGGGGGCCGGAGGACGAGACGTCAGCCTCCCTGGACGTCGTGGCTCGACCGAGCTGGGGAAGTGCCTCCCAGGGCTGCGTGAGTCCCGATCCCTGCCCCACCTCAAGTCCAGCACAGCTCCTCGCCCTGCCAGGGTCCCACAGAGGCTGGGAGCTGAGAGCCCTTCAGTGAGTGAGTTTAACCCAAACCGTGCCGACGGGGATGGTTCTAGCACCTGCTCCACAGGCTGCCGTCAGGAGACGCGTCAAGTAGGGAGAGCACGAAGACCCCCCCGACCTGCGAGCCGCCGTCAGCAGCCGAGAACCCGGCCGTGCTCCCCAGGTCTGCTCTGCGGGCTCCTCAGACAGCGGCACCGCGCCCACGCCTGGGGCAGCGAGGCAGACGCAGAGGAGGGTCCGGGCGGAGGAAACAGCAGGGAGGGGGCACGGAGGTGCAGAACAGCAGAGCACGTGCTGGCGTGGGGAGGAGCCTGGTTAGAGGAGGCTGGGACCTGGTGTGTGTGCAGTGTACACACGGGTGTGTGGGGAGTGTGTAAATGCAGTTGCACATGTGTGTGGGTAGATGTGTGCATAAGTGCAGGTGTGTACGTGTGTGCAGGTGTGTACATGCGTGTGTGCAGGTGTGCATGCCCTACGTGACGCTGTAGATCTCGCACAGTGCCGTGGGCTGTGAGGACTGTGGTGCCGTGAGCCCGTGGGAGCGCGTGCAGTTGTCTGACCAGGCTCAGCCAGACCAGAGTCGGCGCCACGTGGAGAACGGACTGGCTGCCGGTGAGGAAGGCGGGCGTGGGAGATGCCGTGGAGGTGGCGCTGAGTGAGCGGGAATCGTGGGTGAGGAGTGGGGATGGCTGGACCCCCAACAAGGACACAAGTGGAATTTCTGCTGCCCCGCAGGACCCCAGAGCGGGCGCAGGCGGACAGACCTCATGACATCACAGGTTCTCTCCTCTGTCCCCAACATTCCAGTTCCACAGGGAGGCGAGCCCCCACCAGGGCGCCACGGGCACAGGGCACAGGCAGCGGGCAGCGTGTCCCGGGCAAGGTCTCTGTGATCTGGGACATGTGTCCCCGGGGCCGGCGGGGGCGGGTGGGGACCGTCGGCACCAGCTGTCTTCCGCGGGTGGCCGGGCCCCTCTTCGTAGTGCTCTGGCAGTAGGAGGGCGACAATGGTCCCGTGTCCCCACAGACGGCACGGGGGTGCAGGAGGGCCCGCGGCCTGGCAGAGAGAGCCACTCCATCTCGACTCCGCGGAGCCGGGGACAGTAAGGGCGCTGATGACTCCAGCGATCCCACGAGGAAGAGGTAAGGGCTGGCCCGGCAGAGCCGCACACCGTGCCACCCAGCAGCAGGGGGCAGTCACGGACACGGGGCCTCTGGACGGGAAACGGCGCTTGAGACAAAGGGCAGGCTGACGGAAGTCAGGGTACCCGGGGTGAACTTGACCCTGGCTGCTGGGAAATTGGCCTGGGAAAGCCTCACTGAGCTTCAGAGAGACCCCAGAGTGTCCCCCGGAGGGACACGAGATTTTTAAACTGTGATTTTGGTTTGGATTTCAGGTTTTGTTTGTTTGTTTAGTTGAAAGGCAACGTCAGAGAGGGGGAGAAACAGAAATTTCCCACCCACTGGTTCTCTCCCCAGTGGCTGCAATGGCCGAAGCCTGGAGCCAGGAGCTTCCTCTGGGTCTCCCCTGGGGGTGCAGGGCCCAGGCCCTTGGCCATCACTGCTGCTTGGCAGGTGCCTCGGCAGGCAGCTGGACCAGGAGTGGGGCAGCCGGGACTCGAGCTGTGCCCACGTGGGACCCGGTCTCGCTGGAACTGGCTCAGCCTGCTGCACCACTGGGCCGCCCCAGATTTTGTCTTTACAAACTGCACATCTTCACCGGAGCCCTGGCCTTGGCCTGGTGAACTCCTTTTCTTTGCCTCTCGTGGGTCAAATCAGGCGAGATCATCCTGGAACCACAATCCACCAAAAATACACCTGGGCCTCTGCTGGTTTGGCGGTGATGTGGGCTTCTGCGGTTCAGAGAGAGAAAAGCAGCAGCCGAGGGGAAGGGCCGCTTCCGGGGAAGGACTGAGCCAGGCTGCTGAGCCCCCCACCCCCGCCATCCGGCCCTGCTCTGCGCACTGTCCGAGGCCGGTGCGGGGACGGCCTGAGGTGGTGCCCGTCCTGGTGTCTGTCCAACCTCTGGGGCTAACAAAGCCCTCGGTCTTCCTCCTTTCGCATCCTGGGGCCCAGGAGGAGAAGCTGGTAGCCACGGGATGTGCTGTTCTGATTCCCGCTCCCGAGGCACGGTGGCAGCGAGCCAGGGAGACGGGGAGGAAAGCACGGCCTGCCACCGACCCGCAACAGGGGCGCCTGAGCGCCGGCTCCCTCTCGCCGCGCGGCACGCCGTCTCGCCTGCTCAAACTGCCTGGGGTGGGGTGACTGGCAGACACAGCTGACGCTCGGAACAGTGAGGCAGGCGTGTGACAGGGCTGCGAGGGGCAGCGAGGACTGGGGCCAGGGCCGGGCCGGGGCGTGGGGTCAGCAGCCCGTGTGGCCATGGACTTGCTCTCCTGGTGTCGACCGGCACGGGGACTGTGTGCACCTTGTGGTGCTGGTTCTCCGGCGGTTTCACCCACGCTGGGGCTCGCTCTGCGCAGTCGCTCGGCGCTCTGTGTCGGCGCTCTGTGTCGGCGCTCTGTGTCAGTAGCCCTTAATTTCTTCTGAAACTTTCCACCTGGGGATGGAAACCTGGTCGTTCCAGTCTGAGGCTGTTTGTGGGAAAGCTGCTGTGGGTGCAAAGTGAGGCGAGGAGTCCGCTGGCTCTGGCTGTTTCCTGTGCAGGTTTTGTGACCACTGCCGGTTTGCCAGCCTGGCTGTGCCAATTCTATGAACAAAGTCGGAGTTTCAGCTGTCGGCCTTGGAACTCGGCGTCGTCAGTTCTTTTACTTTCTAGCCATTCTTGGGTGGCTGGGAGCAGTGATGAGATGCTATTTTTTTTTAAAGATTTATTTATTGATTGATTTTTGACAGGCAGAGTGGACAGTGAGAGAGAGAGACAGAGAGAAAGGTCTTCCTTTGCTGTTGGTTCACCCTCCAATGGCCGCCGCGGCCGGCGTGCTGCGGCTGGCGCTCTGAGCTGATCCGATGGCAGGAGCCAGGTGCTTCTCCTGGTCTCCCATGGGGTGCAGGGCCCAAGCGCTTGGGCCATCCTCCACTGCACTCCTGGGCCACAGCAGAGAGCTGGCCTGGAAGAGGGGCAACTGGGACAGAATCCGGCGCCCCGACCGGGACTAGAACCCGGTGTGCCGGCGCCGCAAGGTGGAGGATTAGCCTAGTGAGCCGCGGCGCCGGCATATTTATTTATTTCAGAGGCAGAGAGAAAGGTCTTCTATCCACTGGTTCACTCCTTATATGGCTCCAATGGCCAGAGCTGAGTGGATTTGAAGCCAGGAGCCAGGAGCTTCTTCCTGGTCTGCCACACGGGTGCAGGATCCCAAGCGCTTGGGCCATCTTCCCCTGATTTCCCAGGCCATGGCAGGGAGCAGGATCAGAAGAGGAGCAGCCGGGACTCGAACCAGTGCCCAAATGAGATGCTGGCACTGCAGGCAGAGGCTTAGCCTGCCGTGGCACAGCGCTGCCCCAAGAGCTACTCTTGAGGTTAAAGACAGCAGCCCGGTGGTGGGGGCCACAGCTTCTGGGGCTGGGGAGGGGCAGGAGTCGGTCCTGGGTCTCGCTGGGCCTCCAGCCACGTTTCCGTGGGCTCAGGAAGCAAGTGGAGGCGGCAGGGAAGCCGAGAGCACGCCCAAGTGGGAAGACATGGACGGACACGGTCCAACGTGAGGCTCGTGGCGAGATCACTGGGTAATGCTGCCGTCACCGTTGAGACCAGGGCTAACATCGTCCACACACGCACACACATGTGTGCACACGGGCTTTCTGGGCTACTGAACCGCCCAAACGGCAGGGCACAGCCTCGTCTGCATGCTGCCGGCGGTGGGGAGCACACGCGTGTGCACGGGCCACCAGTGCAGCCCTGGGCAGGTCACGACCCCAGCAGTGCCTGGGACAACGTGGTCGCTCTGCGGCGTCACCCACCAGGGTTCGAGTTGCTCATGACGGCCCGATTTATAACCAGGGGTGCAGGGTGCTGGGAAGGCTGGGAAGTGGGGGGAGGCCTGTTGTAAGACAGACTAGTGCACGGCGCTCAGGGTCCTACCTGCAGGGGCAGAGGCATGAAGGGAAGCCACACATCCCGTCTCCACCTCAGTGCACACAGTGCGGGAGACTCAGGGACCCGGACACAGCGCTTGGGGGTCACAGCCACTCTGGACTCCAGGACCCTGGGCCCAGGTTGCCCCTTAAAGCGACAGTCCGTGCAGCTGGCCTCTCATGCTGGGCGCCAGCGCCAGTCCCGGCTGCTCTGCTGCGGATCCAGCTCCCTGCTGTGGCCTGGGAAGGCAGGGGGTGACGGCCCAGGTGCATGGGTCCCAGCACCCGCGTGGGAGACCCAGAAGAAGCTCCTGGCTCCTGGCTTGAGCTGGCCCAGCCACGACTCTGGTGGCCATTTGTGGAACCAGCAGATGGAAGATCTCTCTCAGCTTTTAAAATAAATACATAAATACATCTTAGCCGGCGTGGCGGCTCACTAGGCTAATCCTCTGCCTGCGGCACCGGCACACCGGGTTCTAGTCCCGGTCGGGGCGCCGGATTCTGTCCTGGTTGCCCCTCTTCCAGCCAGCTCTCTGCTGTGGCCAGGGAGTGCAGTGGAGGATGGCCCAAGTGCTTGGGCCCTGCACCCCATGGGAGACCAGGAGAAGCACCTGGCTCCTGCCATCGGATCAGCGCGGTGGGCTGGCCGCGGCGGCCATTGGAGGGTGAACTAACGGCAAACGAAGACCTTTCTCTCTGTCTCTCTCTCTCACTGTCCACGCTGCCTGTCAAATAAATAAATAAATAAATAAATCTTAAAAAAAAAAATCTCCACCTGAGCCCCCGGGCGGGGCAGCAACTTGAGCACCAGCTACAACTGCACCTCGGGACGCGCTTCCCACGCGGTGCAGGACATGCGGTGACCAGGACACTGCCTCACTCTCGCCTCTCTCCTGACAGTGGGCAGAGAGGCCGGCTGGGGCGTCCCGCGGCCGCACCGGCCCGCTCGTTGGAAATGGTGAGTGGGGACTTGGGCTGCGGGGGCCACGCCCGCGTGGCCGGGCTGGGAGGGGCTGGCAGGGCTCACCTGGCGGGGGGGGGGGGGGGGGGCGCACCTGTGCGGCCTCGCCCCCCGGCGCGGCCCCGCCCCCAAACGCAGCCCCGCCCCCAGCGCCCCCCCCCCCCCCCCCGCACCGCCCCGCCCTCAGCGCGGCCCGCGGACCCCGAGCTGCCGCAGGAACCAATCAGCCACCGACGGAGCGCACGTGCCTAGAGAGCAGTGCCTGATTGGCCACCCGCGGGCCAATCGGCGTGAGGCGCGCCCTGGGCTGTTGGGCGGCCGGCCGCGAGCCGGGTGCGAGGCGGCGCTGGCTCCGTGGCTGTTGTCCTCGCCATGCCGCTGCGTGTGCGGGCCCGGGCTCTCGGGCTGGGCTCGGTTCCGTAGGGTGCAGGCACGGCAGAGCGCACCATGGCGGGCCGGGCGACCCAAGGGCCCCGGAGGCGGGCGGCCCCGGCCTCCCTGCGGGCGTCCTGAGCCCTCGGGGACATGTCAGGAGGACTGGGCCTTCAGGCATGGCCGCAACCAGGTGCGCGGGACTGCCGCCCGACCCCGGGCCGCCTTCTCTCTCCCCTCTGCCCCCCACCCCTCACCCCTGTCCCGCCCTCCCCTCCTGCTGGTCTCCCTTGGTCACAAGGACCTCCCGGGCAGACATGTTGTGCAGCGCACACCCGCGGCCTCCTCAGTGGTGTCCTGTTAGAAGCGCCTCCACCGTGCCTGTCCGGCGGCCGAGCACTCCTGGAGGCTGCGTGCGGCCACCGTCCGCGGTTTGCGGGGGAGGAGGGGGAAGCCCAGGGTCCGGCGATGTCGGAGAGGGGGCACCCAGGGTTTGACACGGGAGGGCCTTCTCCTTCGGGTCCGAGCCAGCCTGGTGGGCAGCTCCGTGTGCTGTAGGGTTCTCCCCAGTGAGAGTGCCCCTGACTCCTGTTGGGCCACGCGCGGGTCCAGCTGGAGCGACCTGGATCGGACCTGGAGCTAGCTGAGCCGTTCGGGACAGCCAACACCCGGGAGTGGCCAGAGGCTGGCCGCACCCCTGTTGCAGTCCCCCCAGGCCGTTTGGGCCGAGAGGGGTGACCCTTCCGTCCCTGGGGTTAATGCCGACTCAGGTCCGAGAGGTTGACCCTGCCTCAGTTTCCACAGCCCCGGAGCTCTGAGTGGGGTCTTCCCTCCTAGGAAGAGCAGCCTTCGGACCTCCGGGGAGGAAGTGTGCCTCTCAGATCGCTTGGTAAGGAGGCGGGTCCTCGCTGCTTCCCAACCCCCACGTGCCCCTCGGGGTGGCGGCAGGTGCAGAACTGGGTGCAGAGACAGCGTGAGAGAATGCCAGGCATGGCAGTCTGTGGTAGCAGGGCCACCGCTGGGCCCCCAGATCTCCGTGTAAGAGCACCCAGTTCCCCTCGGGGCCGCAGGACACCTGTCAGCCCGGGGGACGCGGTGGGACCCCCCCACTTACCTACTCTGGACTTGAGTTTCTTCTTCAGTCCCGAGAGGTGCTGACGGCCCTCCCTCTTCTACCTGGGGGGCTGTGGGGCTTCCAGCCTTGCAAACCAGGACGTGCTCTGGGCAGTGACGCGGGGGCCCCAGAGCAGCTCTGCTGTCCCCTGGGCCTCTGCCGTTTGGAGAGGGTAACGGCGCAGTGGGCGGCTGAAGGTGCCGGTGGACCTGGTCTGCAGGTGCCGGCTGCCCCTCGCTGGCAGTCACGGTAGCCGGCCTCTCTCTGGCCGCTGTGGGAAGCAGGACCCCGGCCCTGTCCATGGATCGCGTCCGTCTGTCTCTGGGCCGCTGTGGAAGCAGGACCCCGGCCCTGTCCATGGATCGCGTCCGTCTGTCTCTGGGCCGCTGTGGGAAGCAGGACCCCGGCCCTGTCCATGGATCGCGTCCGTCTGAGCACTTCGGGTTCTGGAAGGCCCCTCGCGTGACTGCACATGCAGTAAAACATTGAATTTGTCCTTTCTGGATCAGATGTACCCTGGCGCCCAAAATGGTCTCCGAGAGCCCCTCTGCTGTGAGTGCCACGCCCACTTCGGGGGCCGCCTGCCCGTGCCCCGGGCCGAGGCAGCGCTGCCTTACTGGGTGCCTTCCTCACTGAGACCCCGGGAACAGGTGGGTGATGAGCAGCGGGTCTTGGGTCTGGGTCTTGGGTGAGCATCAGGGCCCTCGGGTGACGCCCTGGGTCTGGGTCTCGAGTGAGCATCAGGGCCCTCGGGTGACGCCTTGGGTCGGGGTCTTGGGTGAGCATCAGGGCCCTCGGGTGACGCCTTGGGTCGGGGTCTTGGGTGAGCATCAGGGCCCTCGGGTGACGCCCTGGGTCTGGGTCTTGAGTGAGCATCAGGGCCCTCGGGTGACGCCTTGGGTGGGGGTCTTGGGTGAGCGTCAGGGCCCTGGGGTGACGCCTTGGGTCTGGGTCTTGGGTGAGCTTCAGGGCCCTCGGGTGATGCCCTGGGTCTGGGTCTTGGGTGAGCATCAGGGCCCTCGGGTGACGCCCTGGGTCGGGGTCTTGGGTGAGCATCAGGGCCCTCGGGTGACGCCTTGGGTCTGGGTCTCGGGTGAGCGTCAGGGCCCTTGGGTGATGCCTTGGGTCTGGGTCTTGGGTGAACATCAGGGCCCTCGGGTGACGCCCTGGGTCTGGGTCTTGGGTGAGCATCAGGGCCCTCGGGTGACGCCTTGGGTGGGGGTCTTGGGTGAGCATCAGGGCCCTCGGGTGACGCCCTGGGTCGGGGTCTTGGGTGAACATCAGGGCCCTCGGGTGACGCCTTGGGTCTAGGTCTTGGGTGAGCTTCAGGGGCCGCGGGTGACGCCTTGGGTCTGGGTCTTGGGTGAGCATCAGGGCCCTCGGGTGACGCCCTGGGTGGGGGTCTTGGGTGAGCGTCAGGGCCCTTGGGTGACGCCTTGCTTCAGCGTTTCTGGTAGACGGTTTGTGTGTGTGTTTAAAGCGCACGTGTAAAGCTGTTTAGGGAAGTGCGGTAGACGTAGCATAAAACTGCACGTCTCGAGTGTCCGTGCTGGGGAGTCTCGGTGTGCGTGTTCCCCAGGGAGGCCATCACCCGGCCTTGGCACCCGCCGCGTTCTGGCACTGTGGGTTACCCGCGGTCTGAGGATTCCACAGAACCAAAGGCGCTGTTCTCTGTCCGGCTCCTCCACTCAGGGCCAGTGTCTCGAGGTCCCCCCGGGGCCGCGCACACCGGCCGCCGAGTGTCGATGACTGAGGCCCGTGTTACCTTCCCCTCCTGGTGCGCGGTTGTGTTCTGTCTGCCTTCCGTCTGCAGACGAGACTGCTGCGTGTGTGTGTGTGTGCGTGTGTGTGCAAACCTTTGGATGGACCTAGGCCTCAATTTTTCTTGAAACACGCAGGAGTGGTGGTGGGTGAGGCGGTGTGTGTGCGCTGAAGACGGGAAACGAAGCCACCAGCTCCTCGGCAGAACGCCTGCCTTGCTGGACGTTCCCGACAGCGGTGCGTGCTTCCGTCACCGACCGCGCGGTGCGTGGAGCCCAGAGGACCGCGCTGGCCTCGCCCACGGCCCTGGACGGCTCCGGGCTCCGCGTCGGGAGCTGCGAGCGGTGGGGCTGGAGCCCGTCCTGGCCTGCTTTGCTGAGAGCTTGGGAGCCAGCGCGGAGTGTGGAGTGTGCGTGGCTGTCCTAGGGCTGTCTCTTGGTCGGTTTGTTGCTGCGATGAATTGCACTGGTTTGGTCGTGTTACCTTGCCGTGTGTTGTTGGACTTGGTGTGCTGTTTCTGGGTCTGTGTTCCTGAGGGTATCTGCTGGTCTATCAGCGTGATGTTGGCCCCAGCATGCATCGCAAAGTCCCCTGCGCTGCAGTGTCCCGGAAGACGTCCCGCGGAGCTGGGACCATTTCTGAGGGAACCGGGAGGTGTGTGGGCACGGTTCCCTCAGTCGGCCCCGCTGCCCGGCCCCGCCCTCCAGGCTTCACGGGCGTCCTGGAGATGTGCGCGTGTGGGTGACGACTTGCCCCGGGTGCGATAGCTCGGAATGACCACTGACTGCTCCTGCCACTTGCGTGGGGCTGGGCCCAGCTGAGCAGGCCCGCCCTGCTTGTGTGCCGTGAGAGCCGTGGCTGGCCCAGGCGTGTTCTAATGGTGATGACGGAGGTGACACGGGAGCCGCGGGTCTGTGGAACTGTGAGGGCAGGAGACAGGCCTCCCTGCATTCCTGGCTCAGAGCCCCTGAAATCCTCGCGTGAGGCGCCAGGCCAGTCTGCTCTGGCATTCGGTCGTCGCGTCCGTGCAGGGCTCCCAAGACCTGTGTGATGTCCTTGGTGACAGGCCTGTGCCTTGGCAGGCCCTAGGACAGCCTCAGGACGAAGGCAGCTCTGGCCCAAAGATGGCAGCTTTGAGTGACCCCGGGCTCCGGGGCTGCAGGTGGAGCTTGACCACCAGTGGCCATGATGCCGTCAAGCGAGCCTGCGTCCTGGAGCTGCCACAGAGCCCAAAGGGGCAGGGCTGAGAGCGTGCGGAGGGTGGAAGCGCGTGCCCCTTGGCCACCCTCTGCACCGGGCCGTGCTCCATCTGGCTGTTGATGCTGTCCTTCCCGGCAGCCTTCCCGGGAAGCGGGCGAGCAGCAGGCAGGCGTTGCTGGAGTCTGAGTCCCCCTCACAGCTGAGTGGGATGCAGGCAGCCTGCTGGGAGCCTCAGCTGGCAGCGATGAGAAAGCACAGGGAAAATGGGGGGCCCGAGACTGACATCCTGCAGGCCAAGCCCTCCCGCTGCGGGCTCTGTCCAGGTGGGCAGTGTCGGCGGAGTCGCAGGGCCCCTGTGCCAGTGTCAGTGGCTCTGGAAGTGAGGGGTAGGAACCATTTTGCTTTCCTGTGTTTCCAAGAGCTGCTGTCCGTGACGTGGGATTTACAAGAGGCTTCGGGCACATGGCAGAGAGCTGGGAGGTGGGTGGCTGGTGGTCACCTGTGGTTTGCAGCGGCTGTGCTGGGGTGAAGTCATCCACGGACTCCAGGGGGGGCGGCTCACTGGGCGGACAGGACGTGCAGGTGCTAGGGAACGGGTGAGGGGTCAGCCCTTGGTTCTTGTTGCCCGTGGTGGTGGGGAGGGTTTGAGTGGGGCCCTGGGGCCGGAGCCGATTTGATGTCAGTGAGTGTGGACTTTGGCCACCAGCCTTAAAGCTGCCCCGAGAGAAACATGACGGCAGGGCTCAGAGAGTACCTCCCAGACCCAGGTCACCAGGAGGGTGGTCGCCAGGGGAGGGCAAACAAGCAACGGCTGACTCCGGGGGGAGGGGGGAGTGTTCTTCCGTGGAGCGCCCGGGGACCTCTCCCAGCTGGACGTGGGATTCGCTGATTTAGGAGCAGTGGCTTTGGTTTTCTCCCCAGTTCCTAAAGCTCCCTCCCTGTGGGCCCAGGACTGGCAAAGGCCACTTCTTCCTTATCCTGTTGGCCAAAGTGGGGGTGGAGCGGGGGAGGGACTGCCGCGTGCGAAAGTGTCGTCACACGATACAGTGCTGGGGTGAAGTGCTGGATCGGAGGCGGGGTCCGTTCAGAACCTGGTTTTCAGGATGCTGGCAGAACACTGAGGCACAGACCGGCCAAGTGCTGGGGCCAGCGGCCTCCGCGGGGGCCAGGAGGCTCAGGACAGAGCCGGGCCTCCTAACCCAGCCCACTGTCCTGCCGCCAGGAGCCACGTGGATCTGTGCAGATAGGTACTGGGGGCTGGGCCTCATGCGCCCACCTCTGGGTCGTCATGAAGGGGAGACTGTGTCCCCCGCAGGGCTGGTGGGGCTGTCTGTGGGAGGGGAATGCGGAGAGGAGCCCCTCCAGGCCGTCCCTGGGTCCCAGGCTGAGTTGTGGGGTCGTTGAGGGTACAGCTCCGTTCCCTCTTGAACTCTTCCCTTCCTCTCTGTCAGAGCCAGAGGACGGTGCGGTTTCATGTCCCCAAAGCCTCAGAGTCGTGCCCCTGCCTGTGCCACTGCGTTAGGGGCCGCCTCCCGGTGCCTAGGAGTCAGGCGATGATGCCCTACTGGGTGCCCCAGGTCCTGAGGTCTCCGAAGAAGGTAAGGGGAGATTCACAGCAGTGAGGGGGGCACAGAGGCCTCCGGTGTCCACGGAAGGCCCCTGCTGGCCGTGACCGGGGGCAGCTGAGTGCAGGAGGCAGGGTACGCGGGGGACGGCCAGTTTGGTCCCCTGATGTTCAGGGCCTGCTGCACTCACTGCTGCCCGCTCCCCCCCCCCCCCTTCCTCTCCTTTGCTCTCCTCTGCCACCTCTCTCCATCCCTCGGCCTCGGCCTCACCTCGCCTGGTCCCCCTCCTCCGTCTCTCCAGGGTCCGCTGGCTCCAGCTGGCGTGGAGGGAGGCAGAGGGAGAGGGGTGCCCAGAGGGACCAACCCTCAGATGCTGTCCTCCTTGTTGGGCCCCGTCTGCCGTCCCCACTGCCCTGGTGCCCAGGCAGTGCCTGCTGGGGGTCTGCCTCGCCCGACCGCCTCCCAGCCCCGCGGCCCCTTCTCTCCCGACTTCTGCTGCGTCCCGGGTGGAAGTCAGAGACTCCCTTTCTTCCCTCGCCCACAGCTCCATGCTGGCTCCTAATGTTGAACAGCAAACTGCCCCAGAGTCACGACCCAGTGAACCTCTGAGGAGACCCTGGCTTGCATGTGGGATGGCCAGGGATTCATCAGGGTTGAATGCAAGCCATCCGGCCCCCCTGCTGGGACAGGGCTGACCATCCACCCACATTCTTGTCTTTTAGACGGTGAAAAGGCAGCGGAGTTTTAGAGGCCTCCAAGGTAACACTGCACGCGCTCCCTCTCATCCCCTCCCCAAGAAAGGTGGGGCCCCACAGCCACTGCAGCAGGGAGGGGTGCCGACCGCGCAGACCACGCCTGGCAACACAGCTGTGGCGTCCCCACCCCGATCTTCAGGCACTGCCGTGCCGATGGCCCCTGAGCGGCTCAGCGCGGTTGGTCTGTGAGCTTTGGCTCTCGGATGAAACCAGCTCGCAGTGGGGGTTAGATGACGTAGACGGCGTTGTAGCTGGTTCAAAAAGCTCTGATATTTGTGATTTTTAAGATTTATTTATTTATTTGAAAGGCAGAGTTAAGAGAGGCAGAGGCAGAGACAGACACGACGGTCTTCTGTCCACTGGTCCACTCCTCAAATGGTCACAAATGGCCGGAGCTGGACTGATCCAAAGCCAGGAGTCCCCCCCCGCCCAGCCCCGGTCTCCCATGTGGGTGCCGGGGCCCAAGGCCTTGGGCCATCTGCTGCTTTCCCAGGCCACAGCAGAGAGCTGGATCGGGAGTGGAGCAGCTGGGACTCAAACTGGCGCTCATATGGGATGCTGGCCCTGCAGGTGGTGGCTTTACCTGCTGTGCCACAGGGCTGGCCCCCAAAGCCCTAATCTTTGATAATTCATGGTATCATGTCTGTGTGTGTCTGTGTGTGTGTGTGTCTGGGTTATAAGGATACCTCCAAAATTTCGTGGAAAAATGGAAGTAAAAGATGTTTATTTTGGTGCAAAATTTTGAACTCCGTGCATAGGTTTTCATGATATACATTGTCTATGAACTTCTGAAGGAACGTAGACATATTTATGGCACGTGTACATGTGTGTGTGCATTTATATGTGTAACGCTACGGTGTGCATTCCTACACATGTCCTTTTCTACACTCACATGCTCATGGCTCTGGCCTGTTACACGTGTGTAACATGGAAGCATACACGTGTATGCTCGTTCCCTGGCACCTTCGGCGGGTGTTGGTGGCTTCAGAACGTGTGCATTCGTGGCTCGTGATGGACAGGGAGTGACTCCCTTGCGCTCACAGAGCAGTGGGGTTCCTAGTCACGCCAGGCACATTCCTAAGTGGGGCCTTCAGAAGTCCATGGAAAATTGTGCATTATGAAAAGACCACGCACGGATCTCAAAATGTCGTCACCAGAATCAGCCTTGAACTCTGCCCGAGGGCTTGGTGAGGTAGTGTGTGTGTGTGTGTCATGTGCTGGTGACGCAGCACGGGTAGTCACACTCTCCTGATGTAGCACTAGGAGGGGCGTCTCACCCACCCGGGGTGGGGTGGGGTGGACTTGACTGCCGGCTCGTTTCCTGGGCCCGTGCCATGTCCTTCCCCTGGTGTGCCGTGTGACCTCGCACTGAGTCCTTGGGGACTGTAGGAACAGGAACGAGTGGATCGGAACAGAGGCGGGTCTGGGGGCAGGGCTCTGAGCTAGGAACAGAGGCGGGTCTGGGGGCGGGGCTCTGAGTGAGCTTCCTGGAGCAGAGGCGGGTCTGGGGGCGGGGCTCTGAGCTAGGAGCAGAGGCGGGTCTGGGGGCGGGGCTCTGAGTGAGCTTCCAGGAGCAGAGGCGGGTCTGGGGGCGGGGCTCTGAGTGAGCTTCCAGGAGCAGAGGCGGGTCTGGGGGCGGGGCTCTGAGCTAGGAGCAGAGGCGGGTCTGGGGGCGGGGCTCTGAGTGAGCTTCCAGGAGCAGAGGCGGGTCTGGGGGCGGGGCTCTGAGTGAGCTTCCAGGAACAGAGGCGGGTCTGGGGGCGGGGCTCTGAGTGAGCTAGAACAGAGGTGGGCCTGGGGGCGGGGCTCTGAGTGAGCTTCCTGGAGCAGAGGCGGGTCTGGGGGCGGGGCTCTGAGTGAGCTTCCAGGAGCAGAGGCGGGTCTGGGGGCGGGGCTCTGAGCTAGGAGCAGAGGCGGGTCTGGGGGCGGGGCTCTGAGTGAGCTTCCAGGAGCAGAGGCGGGTCTGGGGGCGGGGCTCTGAGCTAGGACAGAGGCGGGTCTGGGGGCGGGGCTCTGAGTGAGCTTCCAGGAACAGAGGCGGGTCTGGGGGCGGGGCTCTGAGTGAGCTAGGACAGAGGCGGGTCTGGGGGCGGGGCTCTGAGCTTCCAGGAGCAGAGGCGGGCCTGGGGGCGGGGCTCTGAGTGAGCTAGGACAGAGGCGGGTCTGGGGGCGGGGCTCTGAGTGAGCTTCCAGAGGCAGTGTTGGGGGCATGGTTGGGAAATGAATAGCTGCCCCCACCTGCCTCTTCATGGTAGAGAAGTGAGGACTTTATCCTGGTGTAAATGGTCATAGCCGTTGCGGGGGGTGGAGGGATCTTGCAGAGTTTAGTGTGTCTTCCCTTAATGCGCGCCGGCCCACGCCTCGGTGAGAGGCGCAGACTCCTGCAGCACCCCTGTCGTAGCGGTAGTTTTCTCAGCAAACACCGGAGTGACCTGAGCATCCCTCGGCCGGCCGGAGGGTGGACACAGGCGGGCTGTGTGTGAGTCGTGGCGCAGGGTGTCAGGGTGGCAGCCGGGAGGCGCAGGGACATGCACTGAGGTGACGGGCCGTCCCTGAGACGTTTGTCCGTGCGGGAAGCAAGCGCCGTGCAGCCGTTGCTGGGTGCTCGTGTCCGTGAGAAAAGCCGGGGCCCTGCCTGGAGCTCGGACCTGCGTCACAGGGGCCTGTGTAGACCCTGTAAATCAGAGAAAGCAGTAAACACAGCTCAAGTGGCAGTGAGAGAGCCAGGACCAGGCGGTGGCGCACTCCTTGGCAGCGGGGACAGCAGCTGGAGAAGGAGCTCTTTGCGCTGGGCCAGCACAGCTTTGCTGGTTCATTTTCATGGGCTGTTTTAGGCATTCGATACTTTCATCTTTAAGAAGCTAGAAGCTGGGGCCGGCGCCGTGGCGCGGTAGGTTAATCCTCCTCCTGCGGCACCGGCATCCCATATCAGTGCCAGTTCTAGTCCCAGCTGCTCCTCTTCCAACCCAGCTCTCTGCTGTGGCCTTGGGCCTCTGCACGCATGTGGGGGACCAGGAAGAAGCTCCTGGCTTCAGATCTCTGCAGCTCCAGCTGTAGCAGCCATTTGGGGAGTGAACCAATGGAAGGAAGACCTCTCTCTCTGTCTCTCCCTCTCACTGTCTGTAACTCTACTTCTCAAATAAATAAAATCTTAAAAAAAAAGCTAAAAGCTTAGTTTATTGTTGAATCACATGTGTCATCTGATAGGTTTTTAAAAACCAGGGTTAATTTTTACTCCACAGTTTTTATCGTGAAAGCAAGACCAGAGGCCTTGACGGACAGGTCTCACTGCCCCCAGGAGAGCCAGGTCCTTCCCATCGTACAGCCCGGAGCTCAGAGAGAGTTTAGGACCCGAGATGTCATCTTTGGCCTCAGGCCCAAGTGATTTCCCTTTTAAAGAGCAAATTCACATATGAGATTTTTTGTTTATTTATTTGAAAGAGTTACACAGAGAGAAGGAGAGGCAGAGAGAGGAGAGAGGTCTCCACCCACTGGTTCACTCCCCAGTTGGCCATAATTGGCTTCTTCCAGGTCTCCCACACGGGCGCAGGGGCCCAAGCACTTGGGCCGTCTCCTATGCTCTCCCAGGCCACAGCAGAGAGCTGGGTTGGAAGTGGAGCAGCTGGGACTAGAACTGGCGCCCACATGGGATGCACTGCAGGCGGCAGCTTTACCCGCTACTCCACGGTGCTTGTCCGCTTTGTTTATGAAGCAGAATTTTTTTAAAAAAGATTCATTTATTTATTTATTTGAAAGTGTTATGGAGAGAGAGGGAGAGACAGAAAGAGAACTTCTATGTGCTCTTTAACTCCCTGGATGGCCCCACAGCCAGGGCTGGGCCAGTCTGAAGCCAGGAATCTCCCAGGTCTCCACATGGACGGTAGGAGCCCAGACACCTGGGCCATCTTCTGCTCTCCCTGGGTCGCCAGCAGGGGGCTGCGTGGGACTGGAGCAGGGTGCTCGCGTCGCAGGCTGTCCCACAGTGCTGGCCTCCGGTCACGTTGTTTCGTGAGGAAAACGTTATGCATTGTACACTAATAGTGCATTCTTACATTAATGCTAAATAGAGATTTATTTATACTGTAGTGTATTAATAATATAGAGTAGAACACGGAATGGTCACAGGTTGACCAAAGGAGTCTGGAGGGAGACAGGAGATGGAAGCGCTGGGTGGGCCCCAGTGTGACGTGGCGCCTGCTCCCTCCCCCATCTCTAGAACACAGGGTCTTAAAATTACGTGTTTTAGGAGGGAAGACGGCGATCAGCCAGTCCTCCATCTGCTGGTTCACACTCACGTGGCCGCAAGGCCAGGGCTGGGCCAGGCCAAAGCCAGGAGCCAGGAGCTTCTTCTGGGTCTCCCATGCAGGCGCGGGGGTCTGAGCACTTGGGCCATCTTCCTCTGCCCTCCCAGGCTTGTTAGCAGGGAGCTGGATCAAAAGTGGGGCAACCAGGTCTCAAAGCGGCGTCCCTCTGGGATGCTGGCATCCCCGGTGGAGGCTTAGCCTGCCGCGTCACAGTGCTGGCCCCCAAACAGGATTGTGATGGGAATCCCAGCTAGCATTGTATCACCCAGAGTTACTCAGGGTGCGCTTTGGAAGAGACGGAACCAGGGGCAGTCGGCCAGCAGCCCTTCCTTGGTCTCCGTGAGGGTCTTGCCAGTCCCACTTCACAGAGGCCCTGGGCCGTCTCGGCCTCTGTGTCCAGGAGGATCGTGGGATCACGGCCGTCCTCACTGCCGCGCTTCTCCACCTAGAGCGCCCCCTGGACTCCCGTGCGCACTACAACTGCTGGCGGGTCTGCTGCGACAGGCGCCTCCTGCTCAAGTGGCAGCAGCTCCAGGCCGTTGGCCAGGATGAGCCGCCGGCCCCGGGGAGGACGGCCAGCTCCCTGGACTCCCTGCTGACCCTCCTCCAGACCGTCCTGAGGGCCATCGGGGCCATTCGGTGAGCAGGTGGGGGAGTGAGGGACTCTGGGTGGCTCTGGTCTCTCAGGTTCTTGACCCCTCAAGAAACGGGTGTAGAAAAGCTCCCGTCCCAGGGCCGTCAGGATTCAGAGCCTCAGGGCCTGGGAGAGCCTCAGGGGCCTGGGAGAGCCTCAGGGCCTGGGAGAGCCTCAGGGGCCTGGGAGAGCCTCAGGGCCTGGGAGAGCCTCAGGGCCTGGGAGAGCCTCAGGGGCCTGGGAGAGCCTCAGGGGCCTGGGAGAGCCTCAGGGGCTGGGAGAGCCTCAGGGCCTGGGAGAGCCGGGCTCAGAGCAGCCGTGACACAGCACTCAGACCTGCTGCTGCTTTCTCCTTGACAGGGAGAGTTACCGAGAGAGAGGTTTTTCATTTGCTGGTTCACTCGCCAAGTGGCCTCAACAGCTGGGGCTGGGCCAGGCCAAAGCTAGGAGGTGGCAGGGACCCAGGTACTTGGGCCATCTGCTTCCCCCAGGTGTATTATCAGGGAGCTGGATTGGAGGTGGAGCAGCCGGAACTCAGACTGGTGCTCATATGGGATACCAGTGTCGCAGGTGGCACCTGACCGCTGTGCCCCAGCCCCGCCCCCTGCTCACTCCTGACATGTAGTCCGGGAACAGTCCGGAGAGGTCAGCAGGCTGCTGGGGAGTTGGCGCATCTTGAGGCCTCCTGCCTGTCTTTCAGCACTCGACTATGGCTGAGTTCTAAAATCGCCCTGCTGTCAGAAGAAGACCAGTGCTAGCTCTCGCCAACCCTTTCCCTGCTGCTAAGGCTCCGTGTTGGAAAATCCCTTCCCTGCTGTCCAGCTGGGGACCTGCCAGGCTCTGCGTGCCGCACCTGGAACCCTCGAGCCCCACAGCCGTCATTTCTTGCCACGATCTCCTCTGACCAAGCCCCCAGGGCCATCCCTGGGCTCATGTTGGGACTGTGGCTACCGGCTGTCTCCTTGTCCTTTGCTCTCTCCTCCGCTTGGCCGCCTTCTCTGACCATTACCCCGGCCAGCTCGTTCTCTTTCAGCCGCTTCCGAGAGACCTCTGTGCAAATGAGTCCTTGTGGATCTGTGCACATAAACGTACGTCGGTAGGAGGCCTGTGAGTGCATACTCACATACAGAACACACAGGTCTGGTGTACATATATGTGCCTGTTGGCTCCATAATTGTCAGCCCCACTCGTGTGTGGGAGGAATATTCTAGATGTCCAGGATCTGAACACAGTTGTCAGGCGTCTTTTACCTGGCCTCTGGTTGGTCATGGCAGATGGACTCCATCCTTGTCACTGTCATGACTGGAAGTGGGAGTCCCTCTCCGCTGTGGGTCTGCTTGTCCCTTCTGGAGTGGGACACGCATATGGCCTCTGACTCGTGTGGTCCCAGTAGTGCTGTGCAGAACAGCTGTGCGGGAGTCCCACACGGACCATGGCAGCCTCTCTGGGCATGTGCACAGGAAGGGGTCTGGGTGGAGAGAAAGGTCTTCCATCCGCTGGTTCACCCCCCAAATGGCCGCAACGGCCGGAGCTGTGCTGGTCCGAAGCCAGGAGCCAGGGGCTTCTTCTAGGTCTCCCACGTGGGTGCAGAGGCCCAAACACCTGGGCCATCCTCCACTGCCTTCCCAGGCCACAGCAGAGAGCTGGACTGGAAAAGGAGCAGCCGGGACTAGAACCGGCACCCACATGGGATGCTGGCGCTGCAGGCGGAGGATTAACCAAGTGAGCCCCGGCGCCAGCCCCAGCTTTGTGTTTAAACCACATAGTGAGTTTGAAGGGAAGGAGGAAGAGAGGGAGGAAGAAAAAAAGAGATCCTAGCTCAGTTCTTTTCTTTTCTTTTATTATTTATTTTAAAGGTCTTTTTATTTACTTGAAAGGCAGAGAGAGAGAGATCTTCCCTCTGCTTGGTCACTCCCCACGTGGCTGCAGCAGCTGGAAGGCGCCTCAGCCCGTTTCCTGCAGGGACTCGCCCCGCGCGGTGGGGAACCAGATGACGCTCCCAGCCCTGTGGGGTCCCCACTCTCCCACAAGGGCAGGCCGGCACTGAGGGCTCGGTAACTGTCTTTCTTTCTCTTTGCTTTCCAGCCAGTTTTTCTGGGTTTGAAGTTGGAACCTTCAGCTTTGTCAAGCACTTCCATGAAACCGTTAGTCACAATCAAGGCCTCAGGTCAGGAGCAGCCTGTGGTGCCGGCCGTTTCGCACCGAGATTCGAGCTGGGCTGTTGGCCATCAGGCGACTCCAGCGTAGCAGAGCCGTGCGAGTGCGGCGAGAGCCGGCCATGAATGAGGTCAATAAATGTTATCTGTGAGCTTCCACCTGGTGACCTCGCGTTTCCTTCACTGACGGGTCTTGTCCTTAGGTGCTGGGTCCACGCGCAGTCATTTCTCACTCAGGGTCGTCAGATCGCTGGAGCAGGGCCCTGAAGTGACCCCAGCGGCTGTTTGGGGAAGAGGGGGCGGCTGGAGACTGAGATAGTCACATGTGTTTGAAGTGTAGAACATAGTTGCACAGCTGTGCAGCTGTTGCCACTGTCTGACGCCAGAGGACGTCATACCAAAAGAGACGGTGTGTGCTTATTAGGCCGCCACGTCTTCCTTCTTTTCCCGGTGCCTGGCAATAGCTAATTACTTTTATGTCTGGATTGGCCTATTCTGGATATTTTTTTTAAAGATTATTTTTATTTGAAAGGCAGAATTACAGAGAGGGAGAAATCGAGAGATCTCCATCTCCTGGTTCACTCTCCAAATGGCTGCAGTGGCCGTGGCTGTCCCAGACCACAGCCAGGAGCCAGGAGCTTCATCTGGGTCTCCCACATGGGTGTGGGGGCCCAAGGACTTGGGCCATCTTCGGCTGCTTTCTTAGGCCATCAGCAGGGGGCTGGATCGGAAGGGGAGCAGCTAGGACTCGAACCACATGGTGTTATAGGTGGGAGCTTAACTCACGATGCCACAATGCCAGCCCCACACCCTGGACATTTTTTAACGAAGGGATTGCACATGCTGTGGTTTCTCTCCCATGGCGCGTGTTCAAGGTGCATCCGTGTTGAGGCACACGTCAGTCTTTAGTCCAGTGGCTCTGGGTGTGGATGGACGAGTGTGTGAGCACCCGATAGACGGGGGCTTCTTTCCACCTTTGGGCTGCTGTGACTCCGGCCCTCTGAACGTTTACGCGCTAGCGTTTTCCTGGGTGGGTGTTTGGCTTTGCCTTGGGTGGATGTGTAGGTGTGGAATCGTGGAGTCAGGCGGTGACTGACGACTGTTTTGAGGACCTGCCAAGTTGCTGTGTGCTGGCTGTGCCGTTGTGTGTTCCCAGCAGCCGTGGGGGGCTGTGTGCCCACCGCCTGTGTCTGTCCTGCCAGCAGCCGTCTCCACGTGGGAAGCCGAAGCTGCACCCTCACTCGTGCTTCCCGACGGCCGCTGCTGCTGGGCGCCCTCCCGTGTGTGCTTTGGGGAAGTGTCTGCGTAGACTGACTGTTTTCAAAGATTTATCTATTTATTTGAAAGAGTTAAAATGAGAGAGGGAGAGACAGAGAGATCTTCCATCTGCTGGTTCACTCCCCAGATGGCTGCGATGGCTGGGACTAGGTCATGCTGAAGCCGGGAGCTTCTTCCGGGCCTCCCACGTCGGTGCCGGGGCACAAGCACTCGGGCCATGCTCTGCCGCTTTCCCAGGCCGTTAGCAGGGAACTGGGTTAGAAGTGGAGCAGCCGGGACTTGAACTGGCGCTCAAATGGGATGCCGGTGCTGCAGGCGGCAGTTTGCTTGCTGTCTCTGGGTTCCTTTTGTTGCTGAGTTGTGTGTGATCTGTAGGTAGTCCAGATATTGGACACTCATCTGACCACCTGCAAATGTTTTCTCCCGTTTTGTGGGTTTCCTCTTCATTTTCGTGTTGGTGTTCTTGGAAGCACAAAGGTTTTCAATGAAATCCAGTTTGTTTATGTCTGTGATTTAGGTCATGTGGTCATGTGGAAGGACTCATTGCCTAGTCCAAGGTCACAAGATTTACAGCTGTGTTTCCTTCCAAGCTTCTGTAGTTCTAGCCGTTAGATTTTTAGCTCTTAGGGTTGAGTTTTGTTTCTGTAGAGGGCGTGAGAAGCAGCGGTCAGGGTCGTTCTTTCGCCTATGAGTATCCAGTAGTCCTGCATCACGTTTCGGAGTGACGTGGTTGCGGAAGTGGAGAGCAGACGTGGGTGTGGAGGCTGAGGAGGGAAGAGGCTGTGGCCAGGAAAGGCGACGGGGCCTCTGCGTGCTCCTGACTTGCCTGGGGGCGTCCTGGCTGTGACCCATCCTGTGGTTTTGCAGGTGTTGCCAGCTGGGGCCGCTGGATGCAGGGTGACACGGGATCTCTCGGTGCCTGAGTCGGAAGCGGTGAATCTGTAATCACCTCGAAATACAAATTTAATTGAAAAAGCAATACAGGTCACTGGGGAGGGTTCTCAGGGTACAGGGAAGGGCCAGGAGGAACGGAAACCACTCCCACTCTTCACCTGAGCTAACCCGTTACCACTGCCGAGGCAGGAAGCAATGGGCGGGTTCTCACGGAGGTGAGTGGAGGGAGGATTTAAAGTGGCAAACAGGCCAGACTCCAGAGGGCTTGCGCTGGGAGGGGGAAGGAAGAGAGGTGGGAGTCCAGGTGCACAGGACAGAGGTGCTGAGTCCGTGGCCTGCGGCAGGGCCCTCAGGGGACCTGGGGCCTCTGTGATGACCGCCGGGGGGCCCTGTCGTCTTCCCGGGGAGTGGAAGCCATGTTCTCCTGGGGCAACGTGGCTGAATCGCAGGCGCTTGCTGGGTGCTGCTGTGGGGCAGGCACTGGGACGTGTGAGAGGGCTGCCGGTGCCCTGGGCCCACGTGCCCTGGGGCTGCAGGGATGCGGTGATGCGCACAGCGAGGGGGTGTGTGTGAGTCTGGGGGAAGGGCTGGGGCACTGCCCACCTCCTGCCTACCTCTGCCGTGTTGCCACAGGACCAGCGGCTCCTGCCCAGGCTGTTCTCTGGGTGCAGGAGCCCCGGCAGGGACAGGCTGGATGCCCTCGGCCGGCGATGGGTAGGTGTGACAGCATCCCGGCCCCCTCAGCCCCTCCCCCGCAGATGAGCCCGGCTGCCCTCCGTGCTCACCTTCTCGCTACCCGCTGTGTCCTGACCCCTTCCGTCCCGGGCTCACTGGAGCCCTTCCCCAGTAAAACTCTTGAACTCTGCTTGCCTCCGGCTGTGCTTTTGAGAGGAGCTCAAGGTAAGACACGGTGTGCAGACTGGTGTTGGGGCTCAGAGAAGCTTCCTGTAGGAAGGGCCATCGGGAGCAGAGCTGAAGACGTCCCGCTAACCTGTCAGCAGAGAGTGAGGGCAGAGGCACAGCAGGTGTGCAGGTCTGGGGCGTTCTGGCCACGTGAGAGCGAAGGAGGTGGAGCAGGCATTGGCTGCCCTCGGGAGCCGTTAGGAGGTCACCTCTAAAGCGGTGAGCGCTTTAGAGAAACCTCCCTGGCTCAGGCGAGTTGCATGGGCAGACAGGCTGGAGTGGGTGCAGGGGACCACTTGGAGGCCACAGCAGAAAACCTGGTAGGGCTGATGTCTGGACCTTGGCGACGGAGGTTTTGTTCCTGGAGCATTTGCCCCGTTGTCCTGTGGCTGTGCCACCGGTGGTGACACTGGGTGTTGCGTAGCTGTGTCGGGATCACAGACTGGGGCTCTCCTCTGCCTTCCAGCGTCTTCTGGAAGCTTAGCGTAGGCGCCACAAGAGGGCACTGTCTGAAAAGCTTTCCTGGGTAGACCGGAGAAGGGGGCTCTGTGTTGCACTCTGGGTGACGCTGGTTGGGGGGCGTCTGTTGCTGTGGTACCCAGAACTCCACTGAGAGAACTGGAGGAACACATCCCGTCCCCAGTCCCAGGTACTTTTTTTAATTTAATTTTTATTTTTTTAAAAGATTTTATTTATTCATTTGACAAGTACAGTTACAGACAGAGAGAGAGAAAGGTCTTCCTTCTGTTGTTCATTCTTCAAATGGCCGCAATGGCCGGCGCTGCGCTGATCCAAAGCCAGGAGCCAGGTGCTTCTCCTGGTCTCCCATGGGGTGCAGGGCCCAAGGACCTGGGCCATCCTCCACTGCCTTCCTGGGCCACAGCAGAGAGCTGGACTGGAAGAGGAGCAGCCGGGACTAGAACCGGTGCCCACATGGGATGCCAGCGCCGCAGGGGGAGGGTTAACCTAGTGCGCCACGCGCCGGCCCACCCAGTCCCACATGTCAAAGAGCAGTGAGCACGGAGCCCAGCCCTATGGAGCTCTCTCTGGCCCTGGGATGGTGTCTCTGTGCTGCCCAGAGCCCTTGACCTACATTCCCGTTCAGGATTCAGTCGCTCGCGTTGCCGTGTGCCCAGCGGCCAGTGTATCAGACATGGTTTTCCGAATCTGGTTGCGGCGGGGGTGAGGGGCAGCGGCTGCCCTGCACTTGTGAACTGGCAGAGCTGTGGGACGAGCACATTGGCCACCTCCCGCCTCCGCCTCAGGGGTGGTAGGGATGGCTGTGCGGTGTGGGCAGGGGCTCTTCGTCTTTGTCCTGAGTGCTCCGTCTGTCCCTGGTACACTGGACCCTCCGACAGCCCACCTGGTGGGCAACGCCTGCTCCCTGTCCAGGCGTGGAGACCCAGGCCCGCGAGTGGATGGAAGTTGATGCTCTGTGCACTTTGCTATCCCTGGTGCAGGCGTCATCTCGGGGAAGACGGTGTGTCTGCTCTCCCCTGGGGACGGAAGACACCGGGCCACTGGAGGAAAACTGTCCTGTGGCAGAATCACGGTGGAGGACCAAGCCACATCCAGCCCCGAGTGTGACTGACAGCACGCCTGTCTGGCCTTCCCGTGCTGCTCTGCCCTGGGGCAGTAGGGGCTGCTGTGCTGGGACGCAGGCCGATGGTTGCAGGAGGGGGATGGCTTTGTAAGCCCACCGGAGGCTGGGGAGCAGGGCCGCTGACCTCTGCACCTCTGCGGGCTGGGTCATATGCTGCTCTCTGTCTCTGCTACCTCCCCCTGCATGTGTGCATGGGTTGGACAGCAGGTGCTGTGCAGCTGGTCAGTACTGTGGTCACTGCTGCTGCCGGTGCCCTCAGAGCGGGAGGCCGAGTGGCAGTGGCGGTGGCGGTGCCCACCTTTACTCTCCCACGGGGCTTCGCATGGGATTCGCCCTGAACTCGCAGGACTTAACCCCGAGTCATCAGTTAGTGGTGCTGCAAGGTGGACAGTGGGTCTGGTCAGCGTGCTCGGAGGTGGCGCCCGGTGGGAGGTTCTCAGGTCGGGATGCGTGGGGTGCGTGGGAGGGAGGCTGTCCTGAG